GACTGTTCGTTCGGGTCAGCGGTATGCATCTCCGGGTTGTTGTGCAACCGCGGCCGACCACTAATCCCCGACAGCTGGCCGCTGAGCCGGGTCGAGTTAAAATCCGGCCAAAGCAAACTTTTCCCGTGGTGACGGAGTTTTGCAACGCTACGTCAGGCTGATGCATCATGATGTCCAGCTGATACGTAGAGCCGATCGGCTGTCCGAGCAAATCGTGCTTAGCTGCAGCATCATGCCGGGCGTCTGCAAGGATGCTAGCAAATACCGGTTAGACCGGGTTTGGCAGCACTCCACTCGAAAAGCCAGGAGGTGCCGTCACGAGCTGGTATACGATACCGGGCCGATGTGCCATACTGGACGGGTCGAAGTCGTTGCCCGGATCGACTATGTCGGCTGAATTCGTCGTGTCCGCGGACCGTCCCGCGGGACGGATCCACCGCCCGGATGGATTCGCACCCGCAGAGTCCAAACCTAAGCGTTACCACTGCGCCATAAATTTTTCTGTCCTGCCCGCGTCGTCGTTAAAAGTCTTGCCGGTATTTCCGGCTATCCGAGCGGTGTCGTCGCTGAGTCAATAGTCCGCCTGCTACTGTCCTAACAAAGTCCTCGGGACGCGGAGGCGTACTCACTGCTGAACTCGGCGCGTCAACTTGTATCTACGGTTTGGTCGCGTTAGACAACGGACAGGCTTAGACTTCCTGTATCATGCCGACAATGAGCTTCGCGGCCGGATCTGAAAAAAAATGGTCCTTAGCAGATCGTTCGTACGGTTTTGCGTTAGGGTGATAGGACGAGAGTGAACCCCCTTCCCCGATTGTAGACTGCTGCAGCTGCTGCTCGGCTTGGCCGCCGTAGAACCTTCCGCTGCCGTATAACCGTCGGCTCAACTCCTGAGCACAGCTGGGGGAGGCAGAACGTTTCTTCGCCATGGCTGCCTTCTTTTCCGTTACCACCAGGCTTGTCACGGTCGCTTGCCGCCGACGTTTCTCGGAGCTAGTTCTCTAGTCCGAATATCGTGTGCCGGGCTGTCGACAGGTCCGACTTTAAGCCAACCGCCCCTTTCTCTAACTGGTCGGCCCTGTATTTCGTGCATTGCGACACCTTTTCCAAATTAGTGTGGACCAGGTATCAGATTCTATTACCCCAGCAGAGCCCGACAGGGAGCTCGGTCAACCTTCTGACGGACAATCCAACAAAAGCGTTCCCGATGGTCACTGTTCGAGCCGGGTTTGCTTCCGTGTCGCCGGTTGACGGAAGTGCGGAATCGATTTTTAAGGCAGATGAACGACAACTCGACCCAACTGATCCGATATTTCAAACGACGGTCGGACAGTATTTTCCAGTGACCAGGCCGGAGTACACGTAATGTGTACTCCGGGGACCAAATGTGTGGTAATTTTACACAAAGACCAGAACGCTCGGATACGATTTGCAAATGAAACCGGAGATTTCTGAAGAAAAACGCGAAAAGCACTGGGTGGGCAAAATTTAGGCCAGACCCTTTGAAGACCCGGAACTTGCTGGACGGATTAAAAACTTGATCGTCTAGCAGACGTCTGGATGCTATGAATGTTTGCACGTGTAAATGGAATCCCAGAGCATTGCAGCGCCTGCACTACGCTACCGATTTTTCCGTAGACGGATAGTTATCAACAGCTACTAAAATTGTTGTATGTTAACCGGAAACTGCGGCAAAATAGTGAAAGGCAATTTTGCCACCCATACTGCGGCAAAATAGCTAACGACTATTGTAACGCAGTGTGCGGCAAAATAGCAAAAGGCTATTTTACCGACCATAGTGCGGTAAAATAGCTAATGGCTATTTTGCCGCAAATACTGCGGCAAAATAGCCACTTCGATTTCATATTGAACGTACCGTCAAAGAAGAGCTGCTTAATGTGAGCAATTCCTAAGAAAATTTAGAAAACTGTGTGACTTGCGAAATGACTCACAAAATTTAGCAATTAGTTTAGCAATTAGAAGAGAATGCTCGCACGCATTCGCGGCAGGGTTTTAGTGGCAGCGGAAAAGGGGCAGTCGCTGTTCAGTTTATTGCCGGGTACGCCATACGTACGTACAAGTGCTTCTAATAATACTAATCATCACACATCTAGCGTTTTGCTGGCTTTCACCTTTGCAGCAGCTGTCATACTAAACTTGTCAGCCATCCTGCAGTCGCCAATCGGCCAGTTTAATTGGCCAAAAACTGGCAGTGTCGTCACAGTTGTACCAATACGATTACGTACGAAGGTTGTTAAGGCTACTTTATCAGGTACAAAGCCTTCTGGACAGAAGAGCCGGCGTGTTTGCAGCGGGAGAAATCGAAATCATAGGCATTTTCTACGCAGGGATGCTTCTGCTCTTCTTTCTAACGGGTTTGTTTGTGTAACGGTTCAACCAGTCACGCGAGCGCACCAAACTAGACTGTAAACAGTATTTTCAGCGCACGTTTCGCCTACAGAAACGGCATCCCATAAAAGAGTGTCCCAGTTAGCGTTGGACGGGGTCGCGTAATAAGTCTCCAAAATAAATGTTGCAATGGGATAAAGACACGTAGAGCGACATTATTTGTCTCTCTGAGTCGGTGTCAATTCCGTAAGACTCAAGACCGTGAAAGACCGGATTCGTTGTTATTAGAAAACGATTCCCAGATGCAGTGTGTTGTACAGAAAACATGCAGTGTGCAGGCAAATAAACGCAATCCCTTATAAATGTAAAACATAAATTAACATAAAAACTGAATAAGTAACGTCTATAAAGGTATAATGAGGTTGCTTTCCATAAATAAGGCACAGCACTTCACTTATATAAAATGCGGAAATTAAAGGAGATCACTCCGTTTGTGACCTTTTGGTGTATTTCACTCGCTGCGAGACCTTTCGCCTTCCGTTTCCCGCGGTACTGAATGATGTACGGGCTTTCTGCTTTGCTGATCTTCGTTTACTTTCACCCGAGTTTTAATCATCTTGGCCAAATCATTACCCTGATTAAAGTCGTGGATGCCCGGTTGATGCTCTATCCAGTGACGTCGGGGACGCCGAATGGTTTGACGTTCATTATTGCATTACGTGGATCCTGCGGGATTTACAAATGCGGAGTGCTCACAGAGTGGAGCACTTCGATATGCCAGTATTTTTAATCAATTCTGCTTTATAGATCAGCATAGTAATCGCCTGACCGAATTGACAGCCCTGTGTGGCGGGCGGCTATGTATTTGAATTTGCGGGTGGTGGGGATCATTTGGGAGAAGATGGCGCTGAACAATGTAATCCAGTTGGAGCAGATGACGATCTTGAGGAGTGCGCTGGCCAGTTCCCGGTTGACGTTGTGCGGAACGCTATTGCTAAAGCTTGCTAGAGTCTTGTTATGATTTGCGGCGATAGTAGAAATATACCATCTCCGCACTTTCAGGAGCCTACACACGCGAAAGAAGGCGGTTTAATGGAGCTTTGCCGCTGAAGACGAAGTCCGATTTTTGTAATACAAACTCTGCCTTAAACTACAAACGTTGAATGTCCAAGAAGCTGCGTGCGTATAACCGGCAGGAAAGAGGACGGTGGACGTTCAATGACATCGCATCCACCTTGATGCCGATCTTCGTCGGAAAAGTGGATGAATCGTGCAGCTTTCTCACACAGTGCATCTGATCTGCTTGAGCAAATCCTGCCTGATACAACGCATAAAAGCATTTTTGATTGCCGCTGTGCTACCGTTTCCATGCGAGGCAAACGGTTTCGTTTTAAAGCTTTATTCAAGTGGGACACATCTGGTTTTGAACATTACATGTCTTATTGCTTACTTCCAGGAAAATCTCTGAGCAATAAAACGTACGTACATAAATCTGACCACTGATACGGTGATTAAAATGGCAAAAATGGAACCAAGGTAGCATGTGTTTATCGACCTGTACGCCGACAGCAGATCGAGACAGAAAGATGGTTGACCAGTGCAAGAAACCTGGATAATCAGAATTCGGACTGGTACAGTGATGACCTTTTAGAGAAAGGTTTAGGATTCTTCCAATTTCCTGCCGAGTTCTGGCAGACAGGGGATGACCTTTGTTGCTAAAATTACACGAGACAGTAAACAAGCAGCGTGAGGAGTTTGTGAGCCAAAAAATCGTTATTCTGTTTTGCTGTATCGTTTTACTGAAGGGTGGTATTGCGCGCTGCGCGCTGCGTTAGACACCAGGAAAGCACAAGTTTTAATAGAGGTAGTTTACAAAAAGATTAATAGTTCGCACACAGTTATTGTGTATTCCCTCTAGGGCCACTACGTACGAAATCAAATACCTACCGGGTAGTCAAATTTACGCAGGGGTGACTAACTAGTAACTACATCACTGTTATGAGGAACACCAGCGGTGGTTGCGAACCACATTATTGCACGAGCGCGAGCGCCAATACCACTGGGAAATGGTATTGGGGTTGTGGAATTGGAAAAGCATGACGTACGCTCTTCGTGGCGTCAGACAAATTTTATGCTCTTGACGAAGACTTATTGCAGCACCTCGCGCTTCGCGCTCGGTGCAAACAATTTCATGTATTGTACACATAACAGATATAACAACGATCTGGTTTCAGGATGGGCGCACTATGACTGAGCGCCGCGGGGGGCAGTGAGCGGTGCTATCCCAGGACTGCAGCGGGTTGAAGTTCCCTTTGGAATTGCCTTGCGGCAGAAATGTACCGGGCGCTATACAGTTTCTAATTAATTTCAGTTTAATTTTACACTGTGCACATCGCGTAAATATGCGTATATGGTGTACAGATGCTCCACGCTTTGTAAGTCTTATACCGACAAAAATCGAGTGTAATTTTTTCGGGCCCAAAATTTATTTTACTGCAAATGTAGCGGTATTCCTACGTACGTTGTAACATGATCTAAGTAAAACCTTGTATTGAATTCACGAGTGCAGTTAGTTTTCTGTGGAATTCCGCTCCCTACATTTATTGCGCAAAAAGTAAAAATTCTGAATTTATTGATTATCCGATGAAAACAATCTCAAAATCAGAGGTCATCATTACATATTTATGCACGGCCGTAAATCAAGAATGTGAGCACCATTAATATAACTGCCTGAACCTTCATGGACACGCAGCCCATCGCAATCACTCAATCAATCGATATAAAACATAAACGTCACGAAAAATTTGTCGAATCATCTGTGATGCATCACTCTTTGTAGTATAAATAGTTCTTGTGAATTGAAAATTTAGAAAAATGAAGCGGGCGAGTAAAACGATGTAATTGCGGCTGCCGGTCGTCGTCCTACATCTTCCTGCATATCGATCACTTGGCGTTGTAGGCCGGCGGGTCGACGGGCAGCATCCGCACGCGCTCCGTCTGGGCGTTGTATGTAACCGGCCCCCGTGACGTTGTTGCGCGCCTCTCCACACCCTCTGGGCGCTGACCAGCGTTGGGTGCCTCGGCCGTGGCGGCGACGGCGTGCTGTGCGCCGTTAATCCAAACGACCGTGCTGAGGACGACCCCGAAGCCCAACGCCAGCCGGGTCGCCATGAAGCACAGATGCCCGATGGTGTACATCGCCTCCAGCCCGCTGATCTGGCCGTCTGTGGGACTGAGGTCGCCCCACTCCTTCCGGCGGATCTGTCCCATCACCTGCATCATGCCAAAAACATGATGTGATCATGTTGTGATCACACGTTCACGATCTAATCCAATTAAGGCGGATGAATGCTGTGTGAGGAGAGAAGCGGCTCACGTGCAGCGACAAAATCTTTCAAATGATTTCAACGTATTGCGCCGTGGTGCAGTGGTGCTGCCTACGCGGATCTAACGACGTAGCCGGGGTTCTATTCTCCCATCGGCGCCTTTTTCAGCCGTTTCTCGGTTTCCAGTGGATTGCGCCCTGCTGATTGCTGCTTAGCGGTTCACCATGTGCGACAACCTGTTCTCACCAGCTCACCATGCGCGTAGCATGACTAGACACATTATCGGAAGCTACCCGTTCTATTTCTAAACCTGATTTTAGTGTTGTTTCTTCTTCCGTTCGTACGGAAGGTCGTTCTAATAAATTAGGCCTGTGATCTGGCCGCACAGTAAACTGGTGCTTCTCTCGCTTCTGGTAATCGTATTCATAGCTGATTCGTGACCTCGCATCCTTTTCCAACCTGTACAGTCGTTTGCTACCTGGAAGCGCTGTATAAGCAGTTCCAGTTGAGATGCGTCGTTTTAATATAGATCCATAACCGACGCCTATGCGACCCGAAATACCCTTTAGGTACTCACGTCTACTGTACCGATAATTATTATGAGCTCTGCACTGCTATACGATCTGCATCGTATTATCTCTGTATGCATGCTAGAATTGTACCATCCGCGTACAGTCATCATGTACCACAAGCAAAGATACAGCACGGTATGTCTCTCTACATTAGTAAAACCGAATGTTGCACCTGGTTGAGCACCCCGCCGACTTCCGTGCTGTACTTGTACATCTCCCCGAATCCCAGCATAATCAGGGCCACGGACACGAGCATGGACACAATCAGACGGCGCAGCTGGCATGGCGACTGGATCGTGTCCCAGTGCGCGGCGATCTTACGGGCGGTGGCCACGGCTAAGTAGCCGACGTACATTAAGAGTAGACCCATGCAGTAGTTGAAGCCATGGAGGACGGCATACTCCATATACGGCAGCATGAAGTTCACTGAAAACACACAATCTATTATAGTCAGATTTAGCTGTGATCTGATGTGTTAAGCAGTACACAAGACACGACTGTAACGAGGAAGGAAAACACACAACATCCAAAGACCTACGTCAACTTCGCAGCTGATTTTACATTGATGTTGAGGCGCTCTGAAAGCGCGCCTTTTATCCGTGGCACATCAAAGCAATTTCAAAAATACAAAACACACTAACATATAACCACAACAAGGTTAAGCAGTCAAAACACAATTATGCAACCATCAAAACTATATTACGTAAGCGTCTGACATCATCGAAGTGATGTCATAACGCGACCGCAGTAAGAGTACTGCACCGGTCTTATTAGCCATCTCTGATCCAGCAGGACCAGCACTAATCAGTATGGTAAAAAAAAGATCGATACACCTTCTAGCAATAATAAATAAATGTACTTATACCTACTCGAATAATTTGCGGTCTTGATAAAAGGCAACGCACAACCAGCAACACAGCATGGCACGTACGTTGTGCTTCACGCTTGCCAATTGGATTGCACCATCAATACATAGCGAAAATCCGGTCAGATTTAAGTTTAGAATCAGGTAAAACTGTTTATGCTCATTCTGAGATCAGTACGCTGATTGCAGTATGTGGTACTTACATGGTACGGTCAGGCCGAAGATGACAAATCCCAACACAGCCAGGACAAATCCCACTCCCCTCAGCTCCTGGAGCCCGCTGCGCGTGTCCGTTATAGCCATGTTGTGGTCTAATTGGCCGGTTCGCCGATCCGTTCAGCAAGCAACGCTTAGAAAATCCGCCGGAATTGCGAAGGATAGCACTGGTGTATGCTATAGTTAACAAACCTATCCGTAAAACTACGAATAAATAATGCCTTCAGATGGGAGAAACCTTCTATAATCGAAAAGAGTAGAGATGGTGCAGTGTGGGAATATTGCACCAACAGTGTCTAGTGTCTAACCGTGCAATTTCACAAATTAATCTCATTCATTCACCTGTCCAGATTCACACTGTTTGACGAGGAACGAGTGGAGCCGGTTAGCGGTGAGTGCAATCGATAACGTGTTCACGGTGATATTCCTTCTGTTCCTGGTTGTACATATTGCCGGATGGAAGCCGGGTGGGCGTTCCTTGTGGATGGTTATTTATTAATTTCTCCCAACATCTTGCATAAGCATCGGCCGTATTACGAGATACCTAGGCAGCCGCAACGGAATGTACAAGCCGGTCCGGAATAATAAACATGTCGAGGTACAGCTAATGCAAACGTCACTGCGCGCTCTAAAAAGGCGGCAGCCGGGCAGCGTAGCCGCAGCTTGCCGAAAGTTCACCACGTGGGAAGTATTCGTTTCTGGAAAACGGACAACATTTTTAGCCTTTAGTAATGGAAACGCTGGGAGTTTTCGGTCCTGCGACCTTTGGTAATTGAGTGGCTGTTACAAATAAATTTGTATGCATACTGAGCGCGCTGTTAGTACTTGAAGGGGGCTAGTGCCGTATATAACTGCGTAATATACTCGTACTGTGCTGACGGAAAGCGAAAGTAGAGTTCTTAACTATAATTTTAATCACACAACATGCAGGAATAATAATGAGATGGAAAGCAAGAGGAAATGGTCGACCGATCGCTGGAATATTTGTTATCATACACAGCAGAGCAACACCTTATGTCTCAGTGCAACTGTGTAGCAACGATTCGAGAAAGTTCGGTGACTCACGATGACAATAAAACATGAGCACAATCCCTTAGACTCTCAAATGTTATGGCCAAAGCCATAACGTGCTAATCCATGCACACTTACGCAGCTAAACAAGTTATAATAAACGCATCATGCACAAACACAAGTACTCGTATAGCAATAAAGCTCATAAACATGGTCGCCTTTCAAATGACCGTTATGCGTATACCGGTGTAACACGATTAGGACGATGGCCATTACACTACAATATTCACAATGATGAATCTGCAATATTAAAATTATAGTTTCTTATTTTTATGAGTGCATGTTTCACTTAAAAAAAACCTCCAAGAATTGTTTTTACTTTAATATTTGGCTTTCACTTTCACCAACCATGGCTCTCACCAACCATCTCAAATACATGTACCGCATAAACATTGTGGCGTGGCGCGCCGGAGTGCGCAGTTTGGCATAATCCGTGAATCGATATTTTTCGCTGAATTATTTGCGCTCATCATCCGGACCGGCTTCTACTCTACCGTGATCCAGAGAATCGGATTGTTTTCCACGCAAAGGTGCGCGTTGTATCACTTCCGGCACATCGCACGGTGTAATTACAAAATGACTCAGACGGTAGAAAAAGTGGGCTGCGGAAAGGACACTTTTTCTACCGATCCGGCTTTCTTATGCGATTAACTTACCATTCCCGGCATCGCTCGGTCTGGAGCGCGTTGTTTCCCCGAATCTCAGTGTGATGATGATTGCCAACCGTTAGTCTTGTTATTCGAACGCTATGTTGATCGGAAACTGTGTACATGGCTGCACCCCGGGCTTCCGCGATGATTTACTCAAATGTCAACAAATTGCAGAAATGACAATTAAGGCCAATATTGTCCCTATTACGCGCCATTAACGTACATGGTGTCCATCATGGGACGCATACACTAAAGCTTTGGCTTTCGCGCACTCCGAATCACTTTTTGTAATACTTTGTCATTCTAAAGCTAAATGATTTGTATACATTGTTCTGAAAACCGTTTGCGCGCGCAACTTCTGGTTGCCGAGACATGGCGAAGTAAAACTGCGAAAAGTTTAAACGCATTGTTGTGTACTAAAAGTCTGGTTATTGGATTGGATTTTTTCTCTAATAAATATTTCGTAAAACCGGTTTACCGTTTCAGCACTGCCGCTTCAGTTTTTTTATCGTTTTGAATAATTGTCGTCGTTGATCAAATTATTGTGATTGCGATACAGCAGGAGATACGTCCAATCTGCTCGAACTTGATTACAGACGAACCTAATTATGGATGCTTCAGGTGTATATCCGTACAAGAAAACATGTATTCATCAAAATACGAAGCAACATACTAGGTACTGATCAGGATTGCTTTGTGGAGCACATAATAACTAAGGAAATGCACCGCTCCAGGCTGGCACAGAAGACGGAAGCGAAGCCAGAAGTCAGCTGTTCCGGTTCCAATAGTAAATCCACCTAAGCACGAAGATAATCCAGAAAAGCCAAATAAAAAACCAAACGGCGACTTTTAATGTTTGTCTCGCTCTTTTTGAAAACTGTTGCCTCCCCTTTCAGGATCCAGAAGCCGACACAGAGTAGCAAATGACAGCGGAAGAGTATGTCGGACGTAGCAAACTCCAAGCACAAAATAATAAAAAAAACTGACTCGATAAAAGTGATTAAAAATTGGAAAAAAAAGTGATGCAGCGATTTGATTCGGTCGGTATTCCCACAAAAATGCGCTAGAATTCGCACTAAAAAGTTACGCTAGATAAGCGTCGAAAGAAAAGCATAAGGACATACAAAATTATTTTTGAATTTACTGTATGTGACTGTCCGAACTTGGCTTGGCGGGACTGTTCGAGTCCTAACCAGATAAACAGCAGCAATATGTGAGTGAAATTTTAAAATAACGGTGACGACTTCCCTTCGGTACCTTTATCTCGCTTCGTGACCTTTGGTATCACGTTTTTCTCGGTGATACATTATGCTTCCTGTTGGATTTATGCGGCTTCTTTAATTATTAACCATTTATACAATCCACACAGTTCTCTCCTGGTTCTACTTTGTAAAATTCGTTCGTCGAGACAGATCACAGGGCAGACTGTGTCGGGGTGAAGAGCTTGGGACATTTCGTGCAATACGCACAACAGCGAATCAGTTCGCGATTTCGTTAATTGAAATGACCAGGAAAGCTGCGTTCGGAAAATGCCGATTTGCTTATTGTGTGTGCCAACACTTTTCATGGGGAAGTCTTCTTTTTCTGAGCATAAAAGCTGTAAGGTCAACCCACCATCATTCACCGGGACAGCAGCCAGCCAAAACGATGAAAGGTCAACTGCAAGGTGAAGCGCACGCAACGCCGCGAACAAAGTAGGCCAAAGTATAAGAAAACCTAAGGAAACATGAGAAACCTAAGGTGACCACGTTGAGAAGTCCAAGTTAAGGAGTCCAAGTTCAGGTTAAATGTAGGGAATGTCCGACTTTTAGCATGTATTATATCTCTCTCATGTACTGTATGGAATACTTTCTCGTACATGGCTAATACCGAAAAGAAACAAAACCTTCTAACAGATGTCAGGAAGCAAAACGAAGGTCAGAGAAGTGACGTGCTATTGCGTTGGATAACCGCCCAGATGAAGCGGTGCGAAGATGCTGTATGTTTGTTGAAAACATCAGCTTCTAGCTCTCTTCTTAGAAAAACACTTTGGATACCAACCATGAATGCATTACATACTGCCATAGATGATAACCCATATCACCTTCTCAATAGAATTAAGGAAAGTGGCCCGGTAGATGGTGCCACATTCGTGTACATGCGCAAAAATTTTAACTTTCGCGCACACCCAAACACATTTTTGTTTCAATTTATGACATTCTGTAGCCAGAAGACTTGTATACACTGGCGTTAAAACCGTTTGTGCGCGCAGCATCAGGTTCGGGAGTTATGGCTGTTAGAAAATTCCCAAAAGCTTAAATGCATTCAGGTGTACCAAAAGTCTCATTACGGACCGATCTTCCTCAAATTTTGCACGTAATTGCATATAACCACAAAGAACGTTTTTACACCGACCTACTGTTCTAGCTTGCTTTTCAAATTTTAAAATGAATTTTAAAATGAATTAAAATGAAACGTGTTTGGGAGTGCGCGAAAGTGTAAGTTTTCGTGCATGTACACGAATTTGGTACCATGTACCGGCCCACTTCCCTTAAGATTGGATAAAGAGCCGGCCGAAGGAACATCCCCCATTCTAAACCACTTTTTTTCAAACGTATACTGGCGTAAAACAAAATCCAATGTTTAAACGGGATTTATCAGAGTTCTCCTGGCCGAAACGGAAAGCAACACAACGGCTTGCCCACATAAAAATGATGATGAGTTCATTAGATTTCAGGATGTGTATACGATGTATAAACATACATACAATGTATGTATGTACATGCATACATACATAAGTTCATACGAGTACATACATACAAGGTAAGCTTCGCGCTCCGCGCTCGGCAAATGTGTATTGGAGAGGTCAGGCTTGAATTCATGGACTGTTACGAGATACGACGGTAGTGTTAACGACAGTAGTCGTGGTAGCATACATATACAGTAGTCGAGTACTGTACATACATATACATACATACTCGTATTATGTACATTATGCAGACAATGGTATGTATAATGTACATAATGTTCATATCTATAATGTATAATACATATGCATAATGTTTCCCGACAAACTACTCTAGGTGGACTAGTGACAGCTAAAAGCGTGCACCAACAAAATTCAATAACGCCAGGCTTCCAAACTTACCGAGAACCCAGAAGCCGCATGAACTCCCGTTTGAAGTGGAATGCGGATGCAGAGCAAAAATTGAAGATAGGCATTTGCAAGGTAGTGTACATTTCTGTTAACTATTGGGCCTCAGTGCGCCGTTTTCCGGTATCCCAATTCCGTTTTCCGGCGCTTCAGTTATCTTTACAGATGTTGTGCGCGCGCTGCAGTCGGCCGATCCGCGACCGTCTTCGTATTACCGCGGGAAGCAGTGGTGCGGGCCTGCGTGGACGGCCTGCAAGGTCTCATCTGGACAAATTGCCGTGCATTACGCGGCACTTCCTCGTTGAGCTGCTAGGAGCGACTGCTCATCCGTTACCTCGAAGAAGCGAACTCTTACTTACTGAGCGGCAACCACATTTAAATGCAATGTATTCTCTCTCTACTCTCTCGAATGTAACGTCGAATCATTCGACATTACGTTCGAAAGCGGGCGTCACGTTCGTACATACGTACAGGTACATTTGTGTCGACTCGTCACAGTTGTACCTGCATGTACGAACGTGGTTAAGGTTACATTGTAGAAACCATTTTAGACAGATTTAACAGAAGAGCAGAAGTGTTTAAACCGAGAGAAATGGACAGCATGGACATTTACTTCGCAGGTTCCTTCCTGACGGGTTTGTTTGTGTAATGGCGCCATCATTCACGCGAACATTATAAATAAAGAAGGCAAACCGAACAACGAATTTTAACAAAAATAAATAAATAATTAGAAATTTAGAAGACACGAGTTTAACCGTTATTTACGCAGCACGCTCTGCTTAACGAAACAGTTTCTGTCATAGTGAGTTAGCGTAAGACGGAGCCAGGCATAATCTCCAAACCGAAATCTACCATATTCAAATAACGCTGTGCAAATAATTCCTACTCGTACACAGCAGAGATATACAGAACGAGCAATAAGTACAGTAGTAAACCGGATTGACTTACCGGAAATGCCAGTCCCCCGTTTTTCCACAGGACAATTAGCTATACTTCACGGGAGGAGTGGATGGACGATCACGTCTTGATTCCGCTTAACAGGTCACGATGACCGATCATAACCAAAAGGAATTTTAGACTCGCAACCGGTGTTTGCTTATTTTTTATTTTGTGGGGTTCGCTTCGTAATTGCGCATGCATCATAAAACCATTCCAGTTAGATAATTATGCTGCTGCAACAGGGTTTTCCCGTTGGCAAACATGTGAGAAATTGGTTTGCCCACTCTGCTTTCCACAAGGTCTTACAATACGGCTGTGCACGAAGCGGGGCTGCAGTGATTAACGTTTGTGGAAGTCACGATGAACAGTTCCTTTATGCTGTTGGCGGGAGGGGTGTGAGATGGAAAAATAATTAGCTTTGCCAACCACAGACTAACCGCAAAAATACCAATACTCTGTATTTCAGCCCAAAAGACACTTCAAGGCTGTTCAAGCTGCAAAAGCGTTTGGGACGTGCCGCTCCAGGAAAACGGGAACACATCGCTCCCGTGAACCGACCTCGTTTACACGGTGCTATTTTTTTCGCTCGTCATTTATTACGCCACCGCTTTTTTCTTCTAATTCGAACTACAAAACAAGGAGCATGAATACTGCACATGGTGACAACTGACATGGGTACAATACTACGTAAAACGATGCTCTTAAGGGATTTGGCCCGGTACATAGCCCTGAATTCGTGTACATTGGCGGGAACTTTCGCTGTCGCGCACTCCCAAACACTTTTTTGCATTGCTTTATGAGATTTTGTAGCCAGAAGAATTGTATACGTAGTTGTGAAATCCGTTTGCGCGCGCAACATCCGGTTGCGGAGTTATGAGGGTAACAAAATTCCAAAAAGTTTAAATGCATTCAGGTGTACCAAAAGTCTCATTATGGACCGATCCCTTTCAAATTTTGCACGTAAATGCACATAACCATGAAGATTATTTTGGTACGGAACCAGACTTCTAGGATTTTTTTTAAATTTTTAAAATTTTGAAATTCATTTTAAAATTCGAAAAAAATTGCAGAAGTCTGGGTCCGTACCAAAACAATCTTCATGGTTATGTGCATTTACGTGCAAAATTTGAAAGGGATCGGTCCATAATGAGACTTTTGGTACACATGAATGCATTTGAACTTTTTGGAATTTTGTTGCCCTCATAACTCCGTTACCGGATGTTGCGCGCGCAAACGGATTTCACAACTACGTATACAATTCTTCTGGCTACAAAATCTCATAAAGCAATGCAGAAAAGTGTTTGGAGTGCGCGACAGCGAAGGTTCCCGTGGATGTACACGAATTTGGTGCTATGTACCGGGCCAAATCCCTTAAAGCACCTCAACTGCAATTGCTTATACAGCTGTCGTAGTTAATCACCAGGGACACTTCCTGGATGTCGATGCCGCGCCCGGCCACGTCCGTCGCCACTAAAATGTCCTTGCTCCCGTTCTTCAGCGAGGACAGGGCGAACTCACGCTGCTCCTGCCATTTCCCTGTATGACACACCAACAACCATCAATAAATTCAATAAATAAATCCAATTAACTGCAGTCAACGACAAAATAAAATAAATAGTAAGATAAAAAAATAAACAGTAAAATAAAACAAAACACAAATATAAAAATATTATATGGGAATGTTTCAGTAAATATTTCACGGTTAATTTAAAGAATTACTCAGAACCAGAAATATTTGTACACAGACCCAGAAACATTTGTACGTGTGAGAAGAATAATCTGAATAATTTTAAATGTTACTATAATACTGCAACATATTCACATTGTTACACAGTAAGAATTTAATCGGCACTGTAAAAATAAGCCACCATCAACTTCAATAAAATTCAATTTAAATTGATCCAAATCAAGACCACATACAACTGATTCAATTCAAACTTGATGTAATTCAAATCTAAAATTTTTTACGTAAATAATAATTTTAAATAAAATATTAAATTAAAAGTATGATTTTTGCAGAATGAGTTTGCATTAATTGATGGAATAAGTTCAATCAATTTTATTAATTTTGTGAGTTAACAGGTAATTGTTAATAAAAATTTCGCTGCGTACTGACCGCCGTGCAGGGTGGTGGCCGAGTAGTTGAGCTTCTCCAGGCCCTTGGCCAGCACATCGGCGCCCTTCTTCTGGTTGACGAAAATAATAATCGGCGGCTCGAATCCTCCTCCATCAAGCACCTGCAGTCATTTCGTCTGTTAATCGATTTTATTCTCAATTATATGTCACTATTATTATGTCTCCCTGTTCACCTTACCCGCTGCAATTCATCCTTTATTAATATTTTCTATTAAAATAATGAAATGGCTACGCTCGAGCGTATCTCGCGCTGTGAGTATTGACTACGCGCGACTCCGGCGCGAGAGCTTTTCCCCGCACAAAAAGACCTACCAACAAACTGTTTAAACCAGTGTGTTTACCACCACATGGCAACCAATAATCAAGGGAAGGTCAGCTTTTAGCGCAAGAAATACAAAACGTACGAACACAGGATGTTGGCTGCAGAAAAAAAGATGGGTTTTCAAAAATAGGGACGATACATTAAGGATGCGTAGAGAATGCCGTGGTATACTGATCATACTGCCGATAGAAGTTATTGAAGCATAATTCAAGCATTCTCTTATAAAACTATGCACGAACCGTGGCCTGGGTAACAAGACAGCATGAAATCTTCCAGAAGCTCGATCTTCGCCATAAAATTCCGTGGCGCGTACCGACGCTATTCTTAGTGTTGTAGTCCACCAACAATATCAATAAATTAATAACTATCCAATTACTGCAGTTTACTTTAAAATAAATAGTAAGATTTTACTATTTTTTACGGACACGGATTAAAAATATTAAAGTAAGTTTAGTAAATAAATTTAATTTAGCATTGAAAGTTTCGAACTGCGTTAGTTTCAAGCCCAGAAACAGACGTAGTAGAAAATAATCTTATAATTTTAATGACTAATACGTGCATATCACATTGCATACTGTAAAATTTAATCGGCAGGTTGGCAGCCGACTACTGCGCACACTCACTTTACCTGCGAGTGGCGACGGCTGACGCGCACAGTTTTCCGTAACGCTGATAAAAACGAATTAGTAATTAATTTAGTAAATAATAATTTTAAATTTATTAACGCTAAACCTTGATTTTTAATACTTTTATTATTCCGGAGCACGTTAATAATTTTATTAATTTACTGGGCCAGGTCAATTGTTAATAAAATTTCGCTGGTACTGAGAAACGTTCTGGCCGAGTCAGCGAAATTTTGGCCACACATCGGCGCTTCTGGTTGACAAAATAAAACTGAAAAACTCCAGTGGCACCGCAAAATTTATCGTTAATCGCTTTAACTGGTTATACGTCAAAGTTTATTCTGAGTTACGAGTGCTGAATTGGGTCCTGGATTACTATTTTCTTCAAAAAACAAAATTTTGTTCATCTGTGCTGTGAGTATTGACTACGCGTACTCGCGAGACTTTTCTTCGAACCAACAAACGGTTAAACCACGTGTAAGCAAACCATCCGAGAAGGTCTGGTTTACGCAAAGAAATCGCGAACCTTTGGCGCGATTTTTTACCCGCTTGATGCGTAGCGAATGCCGTTAACTGATCAACTGCCATAGAGTTATTGAAGCATATTCAAGCACTTTATAACTATTAGGCGGACTTTTACTAAGTAAATGGCCGTTATTTAATTTTATTTAGTAGCACAACACTATAGTCTTTGCCTTTTTTAAACAATCGAACCCATCCAGCTCATGTTGGTCCACATCCAAGCTATCCAGCAAGGTGCTCGGTGGGAATATTGGTGCAGATTGCATAATCTGGAAATCAATCCAGCCAAGCCGCTGCACGAAGAGTTTCGCTCCATGCCACATGGAACGCAGCTCATCGGGCAACGGCCCAGCTGGAGCTGGACTACTCGCCAGCATTCCCGCATCGCAACGCTCCTGCCGCACCCGGGTTTCCACATCGCCCTCGTCACACACGTCGCCGCCCACAAAGAACAGCACAACGACGACTCTGCTTCGCAAGGCCACGTTTCCACATGCGGATGCATGGAGGCAGCATTGTGCGGCCCATGTTTAACGGGGAGTATTCTCGCGCGTACACATGACCTTTATTTAAAAATAACGGCACAATAAATATCAGCAATTTAAATTATTGGTATGTTTTATCTATTTTTTATCCCATACAGTTACCCAAATTAATTCAGAAGAAATTCCAAATTATTTAGTTATATTCGAAAGTAAAAAAATTAATTTCCACATTAATTGCAAACAAATTCTATATCGATCTAAAATTTTTTTAAATGAAAATTCCTAAAAAATTATTTAATGTGTTTGAAATCAATATAAATTACATTTCCATTTTTCAATTTCAGCCAGTGAACCTCTAATTTCTTCTAAATATTTCAAATTTTTAATTTCTCAAAATAAAATTACTAATACCTCCTTTCTAATAATAATAATTTAATTTCTATTTTTTTCCTGCTGCAAATTATTGTCATTCCTGCACGGACGTATACCCGCGCGTAAAACAACAGTCTCCACTCCAACTAACCTCCGATGACGGCGACGGTGCGGACGCCGAGGGGCGTGCCGAACTTGATGGTCTCCTCCTCGATCTGCTGCGCCAACTCGCGCGTCGGCGCCATAATAATGGCGTACGGACCCTGGTCGATGTCGACGTGCTGCACCATCTTGGGCAGCGAGGTGATCCAGGTCAGCAGCGGGATCAAGAAGGCCGCCGTCTTCCCGCTGCCCGTCTCCGCCACGCCGATAATGTCCCGGTAATGCAGACCCACCGGGATGGCCTGCCGTTGAATCGGGGTGGGCGAGGCGTAGCCCACTTTCTTAATCACCGCATAAATTTTCTACACCAATTATTTATTCTAATTATTATTACTTTAGTAATTATTAATTTAATAATTTATTACTTTAATAATAATAACTTTCATAATTTATTAACAAATTATTACTTTTATAAGCTACTAGCTAACTGGCTTAACGGGGATATCTTACCAGGCTATTGGAAAATTTTTTGGTTCATTTTAGAAAAATAACTTCCTAAACACCCACTTCCACTGTGCCACAGTGGAATAGAACGTGTCATATTATTTTTCTAACAAATCCTTGCAAGTTATTTTTCCTGAAAACTTACGGAACTCAGAATAATTTTCCTGCTTATTATTTCGTACAGATTAATATTACCCGAAATTTATTCCATTAACTTATACAAAGTATTTTCGATTTGTTGTGCTGGCAATTCATCCCAAATCGCTTTCTTAGTAAATGATTACAAACTAATTTTCCTGACAAACTATTCCAAATATTACTGCAACAGAAACTCTGAAACTACTAGACGAACGTATAATAATTACCTAAGAATGCATGAATGCACAAGAACCAAAAAATTGCTATTAATAAAATCTTATATTTTCCCCTTTAACCAAAATTTTCTGTATATCGTAGTCTGGTCGCCGGATGCGTAGCCGGTGATGACTGCGACATGCCATTGCACTACAAAAGATCGTCCTTCTGCATGCTAACCGATTATTATTATTATCATCCTGGAGCAGACAACCCGTTCATGGGACTCCGACAACGACATTACGCGTGTTAAAATGACAATGCTTTGTCGTACGCGGGTTAATTTAAATTTTCCGAATTTCTCTCCTCCTCTGCAACCAGTTACCAGTAAATCCTGAGAATTCAGCAAAAGTGTGCAAAACACACGAACTGTACGAGCTAACAATCAACTGAGTTAAATCGTAAATTGCATAAACTAATTTCAAATTGTAAAATTAATTATAGACTGCCATGGAAAAAATAAAAATAAAATCGAGCATGATTAATTATCACATTATCCTCGTACATTATGTAGTAAAATCGTACATTATGTCAAAATGTGAATTATAATAATTTTTAAAAAATAATAATAATAATACTTAATGCTAATTCTACTTAATAATGATTCTGCGCCAGCAGTTAATAAAGGAATTAAAGAAGAAAAATTTAAATCAATTTAAATCCCAATTAAAAATGAAAAATATTGTTAACCAAAAAATGTCAAATACAGTATTCACAAGAAATGCAGCCGTACCTATTACCTACTTTCTATCGATTCTACTCCAGCAGTTAATAAAGGAATTAAATAAGACGTACTCAAATTCCAGTGAAAAATGACATATTATATATTATGCATCGAAAATGCCAATTGTTTTTAACAAATATTCTTATTAAATGCAGACGCTCTACTAATTTTACTGTTAACTTGAAGGATGGAAAAACATTGAATGAATAATAATAATATTAATACTATCAGAAATCAATCATGGCAAAACTCACAATAATAACTGGACATAATTAAGATGTTATTAAAAATATAAACGCACACGGAAAAAATAAAATTCTGTCAATGACAAAAAAAAGGCAGCTTATAATTCCGAGAAGCAAAATACCGTACCTGCTGTACTTTAACAAAAATAATTTTAAAAAAGGGACACACCGACGTACAAATATCAATGAAAAAAAAACATTAAAAAAATATAACGATCAATAATAAAATGAGCGCTAACCTGGTAGAATTTGGCGTTCTTCTTCTGGCTCTTGATGTCGATGCCGCCGATGTGTCCGCGGCCGAAGAACTGCACCTGGTGCTTGGCCTTGTAGATGGGGTTGTAGTCCAGCGAGGTGTCCTCGCCGGCGTCCCAGTCGAAGACGAACTTGCGCTCATTCAGCCGTCGCTGCGTCACACCCAGATATCTGATTTTTTTTTCTGTAAAATCTTATTTTATTTTACAGAAAAAAAAAGATAAATAAATAAAATAAAAAAATCAACCGGCAACGGTCAAAAGGAAGAGATACAGAAATCCGATTTAACCTTACACCATATTCCCCGACTAGTGATTATTTATAAGTACTGGCTGTTATTTGCCAGAATTGCAAAGGACACAACCCATGCACTACGATCTTTCTACGACTCGTTCTGCGTTTTAATGACACTCGTTTTTTATTACGAATTCAACGCATTTTAGACATCAGATCGTTTACCTTTTACGGGCTGGAACTTCGTAGAACTATGTACGAGTACAAATACATATTATTACAAAGAAAACCAATGAAAAAGAAACAAACAACTAATATTAAGAAGAAAACCAATAAATAAACAAACAAAATTACTTGCTGTTGAGAGAAAGGCCAATGAAAAACTGAAAACGAATAAATAACTAGAATCCCAAACGCAGAAACAGTAGAGAGAAGAAACCCGATAAAAAACCTAAGAAACACCAAAAAAATCAGACAAAACCAGCACCCATACCTCTCCTGGATAGCCTGCTCCTCCTTATCCTTGTCCATTAAGTAATTTATTTACTGTAATTTTGATTCAAAATTACGGTAAATAAATTAAACTGAATCTTTCAGTCTTCAATGAAATGAAATTATCTTCATTCACAATGAAATTAAAGTAAAATAAGTCAACAATGAAATTAAAGTTGCTTTATTCATAATACAATTAAATTATAATGAATTTTCAATGAAATTACATTTTCTTCATTAAAAAATTAGACTATAATAAGTCAACAACGAAATTAAATTTTCTTTATTCAGAATAAAAGAAAACCGGTTTACAATCTACGCTTTAAGGTCTACATGAAAGGTTACACGCACAGTGAAACTGAAGTGATAAAAAAATTCCCTGTAATAAAGCTGAAACTACTATACAAGAATTTAACAGAAGCATTTTATCTGCAGTTTGGAAAAAAACACCACAAAACCCATTACGACGCATCTGTAACGTACAGCCCTGCTCCGCCACACGCGGGCAATAATAAAAATCTCCAGACTTCGAATGTTGAAGTGTACCATTTATAATTTATTTCTGCATGATAGTCCTTGGTCTATAGCAACTTTCTAAAATATGTTTCTAGGCAAGAAGCGAAAGAGAAGGGAATAAGAGCAAAAATTTTACTTTAACTTTTTTCGAAAAAATCAGGTTGCTTATCAAGAAATAACTGTGTCTGATCAATAATATTTTAAAAATCCTAGACGAATGAAAGCGAGCAAATGGCAACGTAGCTTTCTGTTGGTCCCTTTCCAAATTCCGTTTAATCCTTAACATCATCTCTACAACTCTTAGTTCTCTTGGCATCCTCATTCTTCGGAAGGTACCGTTAACCATACAAGTCTATGGGAGATAGATCTTGTTTTGGGTTCACCTCGAGCGCTGATAACGCAGGGTGCTTTTGTTAACCAGTAACAGATACCTTTTGGGTGTGTCAATATTTTACAAAAAGGTCGACTCAAAAAAATCGGTTGTTGAAACTGCTACGAAGGTTAGCTTAAGCATCTAAAAAATGACCGCTACCTCCTCCCATTAAATACGGCTTGGCTCGCTACTGACACTTCAAAAGATCTCAATTTTAGTATTTCTGAATCCGCAACAAAAAGTTACACCAGAAAAGTGCAAAGAAGAAAACGAAACGGCGCACAGAAGTATTTTCAAATTTATTTTGTGCAACTGCCCGCGTGTGACGGAGCAGGGCTGTAGACGTCAGTACATTCAGTTAATTAACGGTCTACAACCAACGCCAAAAGATCTTCGCCGATCTGGTCTAAGATCTTCTGCACGTCGCCCTCGAAGCACATGTCGATCATGCGGTCAGCTCTGAACACAACGAAAACAGCTTTATAATTTTACAGGAATTATTTCCTATAATTTTCTACAGTAATCATTTTCTCCAACTTTTTATGGATAGGTTATATTTTTTTTCTTACGTATGTATTTTTATTATTAAATATCTTTTATTCGTATTTCTGATTTCCGTAACACAAAATAACTGAGCTGGAATTTAAACAGTTTTGGACAAAATCCGAAGAAATTCAAGAGTCAAAATTAGGAGATAACTGATTTTTTTAACATCCATTTTCCGAATAAGAATTTTCCTATAGAACAAATAAATGATAGTTACTGATGTATCGATTTTCTTAAAGTAATTGGTAAGACTACGTACTCGTCGAGGACGACGTAGGAGCACTGGTTGAGCACCAGATAGCGGTTCTCCAGGACGTCCAGCAGACGACCCGGCGTGGCGATGACGATCTCGCAGCCCTGACGCAGCTTCATGCCCTGGTCCTCGCGCGACAAACCTGCAGCGTTAAGAATTATTTAAGAATTATTTAAGAATTATTTAAGAATTATTCAAGAATTATTCAAGAATTATTCAAGAATTATTCAAGAATTATTCAAGAATAACTCTAGAATTGTTCAAGAATTTGTTCAAGAATTATTCAAGAATTATTCTAGAACTGTTCAAGAATTATTCAAGAACTATTTAAAGAATTATTTAAGAATTATTCAAGAATTATTCAAGAATTATTTAAGAATTATTTAAGAATTATTCAAGAATTATTTAAGAATTATTTAAGAATTATTTAAGAATTATTTAAGAATTATTTAAGAATTATTTAAGAATTATTTAAGAATTATTTAAGAATAATTTACAAAAAAAATCTAAAAAGATTCCAAAAATCAAATGATTCAAAAAATGGTAAAAATAATTTTCATTTCTCTTTTTGATTTCTAAAACTACCATTCTAATTTTTACAAAATTTCTAAAATTGATTTACTTTATCCCTAATAATTCTAACTTATATCTGTAATTTTTAATTTCTAAAGATACGAGTACATTTCGAAATTTCAAAATTCCACATTTCTAATGATATTTCCCGCGTAAAACAACAGTCTCCACTCCAACTAACCTCCGATGACGGCGACGGTGCGGACGCCGAGGGGCGTGCCGAACTTGATGGTCTCCTCCTCGATCTGCTGCGCCAACTCGCGCGTGGGCGCCATAATAATGGCGTACGGACCTGGGGACCCGTCAACGTCGCGCTTTTCCTTGGGCTGCGAGTTGATCCAGGTCAGCAGCGGGATCAAGAAGGCCGCCGTCTTCCCGCTGCCCGTCTCCGCCACGCCGATAATGTCCCGCTTCTGCAGCCCCACCGGGATGGCCTGCCGCTGAATCGGGGTGGGCGAGGCGTATCCCACTTCCTTGATCACCTTCTGGATTTCCTACACGAATTATTCCCAATTTAATTTTGCTGATAAATTAATACACATTAATTTCCCAACAAATCTTTCCGTGTTTAGGTATTTGCCGACAAATTATTTCTAGATTAATTTGTCTAATAAAGCGTTCGAATTTTATCTTCGTGGCAAATTATTCCAGACCAAAAAGAACACTTCCTTCTGATCATCTCTTAAATTTCCTATGAAATATTCCCAATTAATTCCGGAGTGCAATTAAATCAAACAGGCGTTTTCCTGGGAAATAATTACAATTTCACTACTCTACCAAATTAATACAAAATTGGCTCAAAATTATTTTCAATTAATTAAAGAAAAAAGGAAGTCAATAAAAATTTAATTTTTCGAAGAAAGTAGGCAAAGATTAGTTTTTCCAGCAGATTTATACCACAATATTCTCCTAGCAGATTATTTTGTCTATTCAAAATATTCCATCAAGTGTTTTGAACAGAAATTATTTTAATTAATTTTCTTGGAAAATAATTTCACTTTATTTTGTTGCTAAACTGTGCCAAATTATAAAAAAAAAACGCAAAACAGCCTCACAGAATACAAACGAAGAAACTAGCAAAAATTCGCCACTGCAATTCATAACATAAGAAGATGTAAAAACAAATAATCTTAAAAACCGAATTTAAATTACTAAATCATTAAATGTGGCCTGATGCGACGAGAACGCGGAAAGCACCCCTTCTGTAATATACAGCCACTGCACTACGTTATTGGACTAACAGCGTTACACAGCATACAGCAGCGTTACACAGTTAATTTCCTATGTTGGCCTCGTACACTTTCGCCTGCACTTTCTCCTCGTGGTTGCGCCGGTGCTCAATCAGATCCTGCATCAACAATTTGTAAAGAGGAATTTAAAAAAGAATAATCAAATCTTTTAAATTCCGATTAAATTGAAAAAAAAAATAATACAAACCAAAAAAAGGGAATTATAATTATCAAAATACTCTCAATAATGCCAGACGCACCTATTAACCATTTGATAATCATCCTGCGCCATGATTTTAAATAAAGGAATTAATCAAGAATAACCGATTTCCGAGTAAAAACGAAAAAATCAATAAAAAAATGTGCATTATAATTATAAAAATATTCCTAATAAATGCAGGTACACCGGGAATTTTATTTTTAACGGCGAAAAAGGAAAAACGCTGAATTATCAACAACAGTAATAATAATATGAATCAATAATAATGTTAAGAGAATAATTATTAATTAATATAAATACCGTATACTGATAGCGATAAATAATAAAACGAGCTTGTACCTGGTAGAATTTGGCGTTCTTCTTCTGGCTCTTGATGTCGATGCCGCCGATGTGTCCGCGGCCGAAGAACTGCACCTGGTGCTTGGCCTTGTAGATGGGGTTGTAGTCCAGCGAGGTGTCCTCGCCGGCGTCCCAGTCGAAGACGAATTTGCGCTCGTTCCTCCGCCGCTGACGCCGCCGCCGTCGTTGCGTCACACCCAGATACCTGACCATCGAAATTACAACAGTTACCCATAAACAGAAAACCACATCAGACGAATCAATAAAAAAAGCCGGACTTTGAAAAGCCTTTATTTATACCTTATCATTATTACTCGTATGTTGCTGATTTCCGACTACGGAATAAGCTGGCTGAAACCGGTTCAACTGCAATGAGTTCCCCAAACCACTCTACTACGAAGCTCCCACAGATGCTCTATAAAACTACGCACGAGTAAAAACAACTTGGCATTATTACGCAAAATACCAATGATAAACCGGACAAGAATAAATCAATAAAATGGGAAAAAACAGATAAAGAGAACAGAAACGACAAATAAACCGAAGTAATCCAAATAAATCGACTGCAAAAGACTACAAGAAACCAAAAATATATAAACAAAAATTACAAATAAATTAATAAAACACATACTATCAATAAAAACGAGGAAGAATAAAAAATACATTAACCTGATAACCAGAAAACCACAATAAAAAAAAGGTGCTAAACATTAACTTAAACTACTAAAATACATTAATATAAAAGCCGTTAAAATTAAAAAATACATTGACAACAACTAATTCATTCATAATAAATTAATAAAATGCACTAAAAAAGGCGATTAAAAATAAAAGTATGTATTGATAATACATTACTACAAGAAACCCATGAATAAAATCACCGCTAAATAAAAAATCAATAATACAATAATAAAATGCATTAACAAAAACAGGTAAATAAAAACCGCCGCTAACAAATAAAAAACTTATAAAATTCATGAACAAAAATATAAAAAAATCTGCTAAAAATCCACAGGAGAAAGCCAGCGCCCGTACCTCTCCTGGATAGCCTGCTCCTCCTTATCCTTGTCCTTCTCCGCGTCGCCCTCCGCCCCGGCACGCCGCCGCTCGCGTCGCTCGGGATCGGAGTCGTCCGTCGTCTCGCTGAAGACCTCCTCGCGGCGATCCCGTCGCTCCCGGGAGCGTTCCCGTTCCCTATCCCGTTCCCGACGGCGGCGTTCCCGTTCGCGGCTGTTGGAGCGCGAGCGCGACCGCCGCTGCTCCCGTTCCCGCTCCCAGCCGTTGCGGCGGGCTTCCTGCTCGAACTGCTCGCCCTTCTTCCGCTCCTCGTCAAGGCGGGTACGCAGCGCGCTCGCCTGCACCAATACACCAAAGTATTCATCACAATTACAATAAATCAATTAAAATAAATCTTCCATGCAATAAGATTTTCTTCAGTTATAATAAAATAAAACTAAATAATTAAAACAATAAAATAATTAATTAGTCAGTTAGTTTGTTTGTTTAGTTATAATAAAATTAAATTAAGATAAGTCAACAATGATTTTCCTTATTCATCATAAAATTAAATTATAATAAGTCCACACAACGAATTTAAATTTCCTTTATTCATAATAAAAAAATTGATTTACAAAGTACGCTTGAAGGTCCAGACGAAAGGTCACACACAAAAGGGTACACACACAATGAAGTGATAAAAAAATTCCCTGTAATAAAGTTGAAACCACTATACAGGATTTTTTTTTTATTTTTTTAGCATTTATCTGCAGATGAAAAAAACACCCCAAAACACATTAACTACACATCTGACATCTGTATTATACTGTACACGTCAGTCAGCGTTCTATAACTGCTTTAAAGGGACATGACAACTGCCCATGCACTACAATATTATCTCCTTCTAAGGCAACAGCCTGCCATGTGACAGTCGAAAAATGCAGTCTCAACTAAGTAACTGCATCGATCAGTCAGCTGAATAATAATTTACCAATTTTTTAATAGTACCCAAAAATTTCAATATTAATATTTTAATAATCATTAATTTAATATTAACAGATCAATATTAAGAATTCGATAGCTTAATCTTACCAGTATTATTAATCCTCCACATGAAACATAATAATTCACCACGTTAATAATTATAACAACTCAACCAATAAATAACTAAGCAAAAATAATCTACATCGATTTTCGGATGAAATATATTTACCGGTAATTCACCAGCTCCTCAATAATTTGACGATTTAGAACAGCAGCTAATTGATGTCAGGATCCAGTACAAGCGGTACACACACCAAAAAATTCGCTATTATTTTACATTTTTCCCCAATTAACGATAGGAATTTTTAAAAAAATGCGGAGATAAATCGGGGATAATATAGAAGAAAAATTCCTGGAATACAGTACCTCTTCCTGGCGTTTGCGCAGCGCCTCGGCGACACGCTCCTCCTTGGTGAGGAATTTAGGCTTGGCCTGCGCCTGCTCCTCGGCCTTCTTCTTGGCCAGGATCTCCTCCAGGGAGAAGGGCTCCTTCTTCCCTTTCTGCTCCACAATCTGCCCCTCTTCCTCCTCGTCCTCCTCCGCCTTGTTCACGCCGTCCTCCGCCGCGGATTTATTTTTCAGACGCTTTTTCTCGTCACTGTCCGGCTGGCCGCGCTTCTTCTCGCCGCTGCGGGATTTTGCGTCGGTTTTCCGCGGTGATTTCTCCCCGTTGCGTGTGCCGGGTTTGTCGTCCTGTGGACGCTTCGTGTCGCGTTCGCGGGAGCGCGATCGGCGTCTGAAAATCCCAATTCGAAATTCAAATCCAGCAAAATTGTATTTCATTAAAATGCACTTAAGAAAATTCGGTCAAAAATTAAATCAAAGTAAAATTTAAATTGTTAACAAAATTAATTAAATAAAATTAAAAATTTTATTATTTAATAAAATTGAATTCCCGGGAGCGGGATCAGCGTCGGAAAATCCCATTCTAAAATCCCAATCCAGTAAAATTCTATTTCATTAAAATGCCTTATGAACATTCGGTCAACAATTAAATTCCCCGCAAATTAAATTAAAAACAAATCAAAATTAGTAAGAAAATTAAACTAAATAAAATTAAAAATTTTATTATTTAATAAAACTGAATTCCCGGGAGCGGGATCAGCGTCGGAAAATCCCAATCTAAAATTCCAATCCAGTAAAATTTTATTTCATTAAAATGCCCTGAAAAAAATTCAGCCAAAAAATTCAATATCCACCAAAAAGCAAATAAAACCAAATTTAAATTGTTTCTAATTTTATTAGAGAAGGAACAGTATTACACATGTGCTGAAATTTAACAAATTAAATTATTAATTTTCGATATTCACTAAAACTGAATTAAAATAAAATTAAACTAAAATGTGTTTACAGTTTACACTTTACAGTGAAATTTCCAAAAAAAATGTTTATATTAAACAATATTATTATTATTTCAAATTTCAAATTAATTTTCATTTTGGCAATTTTTTTAATTTTCATAAACCAGGAGAAACAGGCAGCAATCTAATTATTTAAATTAGATAATTTTTTTTAGTTTTCGGGTTTTCCCCGATTTTCTGTAATAAAATTACAAAAATATAGATATAAATTCTAAATCTACCTGCGTGAGGACGAGTGGTTGGCATCTTTCTGACGGTCTCGGCTGTCATCACGCTGCCTCTTCCGTTGGCCCATCGCCGCCGTTCCTCTCTCCATCCGTTTTTCGATCGTCATCACGCGCAGACTGACGATTCTTATGAATCTTATCCGATTTCTCCGCGCGCGGGACCCGTTTCTCCTCGCTGTGCATTTCTGACAGCTCCCCACGCAAAACGATAATTATTCACCAGAGAACGATCAGTGTGACAGTGTGATATCAGAATACAATCATCATCATACTAAAACATCCAGCGACGGATATAACACGTGCAACAGGAGGAGAAATGATCTTAAAGAAAGAAAAAAGTAAACGAAACTGCAAAATCACACTCACACAAATCAAAATGACACAATATATCAAACAATTTTTCACGTTCAAACGCGTCGAAGCGACGAAGTAGCGCAGTACAGTGAGCACACCGACACCGCGCGCTTTTTCCCTGCACTGACTGTGCGCCGTGGGCGGTCGCACCAATCACACACGGCGTATAATTTTCGTTTATTTGTGTTTTTCTACAAATAAACACTGTTTTTACAGTTTCTTGATTGCGATTTGCGATGCATGTTTTTTTATGCTTTTATTCTCTAACTAATTCCGATTTGTATTTACGTGGGTCTCTTGCTAATTACGGGATTTATGTTGGGTTTTCTAGAAATCACGATTTTTAATATTAGTAAAATGCAATTTTTTCCCACTTTCTTAGATTTCTTAAATAATCACGGATACTTATTTTAATTACGGTTTTTTCAGGTATTTTTTACTAATAGCGGATTTTAATTAATTCATAAATTCTCAGAGAATGCCATTTTTGGGCTTTTATTTGTTATGGTTTTCTAATCAATACGATGTTTATTTCGTCCTGCACGATTTTCTTAAATAATCACCGATATTTATTTTCTTAACTATGATTCTTTATTTTCAATGTTTTTATTAATAATGGATTTTAACTAATAAATAAAACCTAAGAAAATACGATGTTTATTTTCAGATATTTTTTAATTAATAACGGATTTTAACTAATAAACACAAGAAAATGCGATTTTTTTGGCATTTTTTGTAAGAATTTTCTATTAAAATAATATCTAACATTTTCCAGCTAATTAGTAAGCACAGATATTTATTTTCGTATTACGATTTTTAATTTCCGCTTTTTTTGCAAATCATTCTGTCGTTGATTTTTTTTACAGCTGGCAGTTCTTACCATTCTGTGGACATGTTTCCCAACTTTCCACTGGCATGCAACAGGAACAAAGGAATACACAATAAAACACAATAATTAATCAATTTTTTTTCATTTAATTCCCTCGTTATTAACGGCACACCGCGCCCAGTACGAATTGACGGGGAATGTTTCAGGAGAACAATTTCTCCTCTTTTTTGCGTTTGGTCAGCACCGTTCCCGGTTTGTGTTGCGCGTCGGGGTGGCGGTCCAGTTCGGGCGGGCAGTGCGAGACGGGACTGTTCTTCAGCACTTGCCGCAAATCGAAGAACAAATGACTGTCTTCCTTCGTCAGAAACGAGATGGCCTTGCCTACAAAAATTTCACAATTAAAAAAAGAACTCATTCTAAAAATTTATATTAACAATTAACAAAATTTCATTTGAAAAATCTATATTCCCAATTAAAAGATTCAGTTTAAAAAATTTATATTCAGTATTATTCACAATTAAAAAAATTTCATTTGAAAAATTTACATTCTGAATTAACAGATTCCATTTAAAAACTTTACATTCACAATTAAAAAAATATATATTCACAATTTCATTACACAAATATATTCGTACGTATTTATAATCACAATCTTATTTTCACAATTATATTCACAATTTCATTACACAAATATATTCGTACATATTTATAATCACAATTTTATTTTCAAGATTATATTCACAATTTCATTACACATAAATAATTATATGTATTTATACTGTATTCACAATTTTAAACCATTCCCATTTCAGCCATCCAAGCACATCATCTCAAAATCAAACAAGGCTTCCTGCATTTTACACGGTGGCAACGAAAAATTTTTTTGAAAAAAAATATTATCGAAATAATTCCAGGTGGAAAAATGATCAATTTAAATGCCGCAATAAGAACATCCAAAGGAAATAAATACCGATTTTAGTACTGATATAATAATTACCAAACACCAGTTCCGTTATTTGATTTTTCTACATTTTTTTAGAAAAAAAGCCGATAAACGAAATTAAGACATCCGAAACTGTTGGGCACTTTATATGCACAGCCTTGCCTTTTTTGCCGGCGCGCCCGGTGCGGCCGATCCTGTGCGTGTAGTCCTCGATGCTCTTGGCCATGTCGTAGTTAATCACCAGGGAAACATCCTGGATGTCGATGCCGCGCCCGGCCACGTCCGTCGCCACCAGAATGTCCTTGCTCCCGTTCTTCAGCGAAGACAACGCGAACTCACGCTGCTCCTGCCCTTTCCCTGTAGTACACACCAGCAACGATATCAATAAACTAATTAATTAAATTATTAAATAAATTAATTAATAAATAAATAATTTAATTAATTAACTTATAAATAAATTATGGAGAAAGCTGCGCACACCACGTTTTACCACCAAAGTCTCCCCACACCACCTTTCACCACCACCAGGCTCCGCACACCACTATTCGCACCACGTTTTGTCTCGGGCCACCATTTTTACGCCACCACTATATATATTTGAAACGTCGGTAGTCTCGGGACACCACATTTTACTCGTAGTTTCGAAGATATGTATGCAGTAGTCGGTCGTATATACGACTAATACGACTAATACAGTAGTCGGGCTATGTACGTAATTAAATTCTGTGTACGTACAAAGAACAGTACTTTACTTAACATACGGTGTATCTAAGTTACAATGTTTTGGTTTTTTCGATATAGCGCAAGACAAGCCTTTGATTATACGTATACAGCATGCTTAATTTGTAAATAAGCACAGAAAGTTCTTTGCAGCCACAATTTACCATAAACTGACTGCCTGTTTGTGATACTTTTATTCTAAAAATCGTTTTTGATTCATCGTCATACTAGAAAAATGTCGCGTACTTCTTACTCTGATGACCACGACGAAAATGGCCACGAGAGCGAACACCTGCATGTGGGAATGAGTTTCGCCTCTTATGCAGCCTTGGAGGCTGCTCTGGCCAGATACGAGAAAGAGACTTTTACGGTCTTTCAAACTCATCGCTCCGAAAGGTTACCACCAGCCGACGAGTGTGCGAAAAATTTGCAATACAAATACATCAAATGGCATTGCGCACACAACACCAGTTATGTCCCAAGAGGCAAAGGGTCACGACCAGTCACCCACAGCAAGGACTTGGAATGCCCTGTGATGCTCCACGTCTCCATTCAGAAAAAGAACAGACAGTTGGTAGTCCAGCGATCAGACTCTTTGGCGGAACATAATCATGAACGCTCAAAAGACCTGTGGCAATTATACCCAAAAAACCGTATACTATCAAAGTCCGACCAAGAGCATGTGACTAAATTGAGAAAAGAAGGTCTCCCACGGCAATCTATACTAAAGATGAGCGAAAAATGCTCCTTAAAAAAACATGTTTTTTAGTAGGAAATGACCGTGTTAACGATTACTGCAAAAAAACAGGTGGTGAGAGAGAAGACCGAGAAGAGCGTCACAATTAAAGACATCCATAATAATATCGTAAATCGAGACGACGTTGAAAGAAAGAAAGGGAAAACGGAAATTCAGCTGATAGATCTGGAACTGAGTGCATTAAAACACGTGACCCAGGAATGGACGTATACACCAAAGACAACGGAAGTGTGCTTGAAGGCATTTGCATTGCGACAACAGCAATGAAATCAGATTTTGCGAAAACACCAGAAGTACTGTTCCTCGACGACACGTATAACGTTAACGTTGAAAAGTTTTGCCTGTTCGCGGTAATGTGCGAAGATGCCAACGGTGCGGGTCAACCAGTGTTTTTGGGCTTACTAGCGAACGAAAGAAGGGCAAATTTGGAATTTTTCTGCGAAAGTTTCAAGAAGGCACATCCCACGTGGCAGCAAATTGAATGTATATTTACTGACAAAGACTTCAATGAGATCGCGGTGATTCGATGGGCATTTCCTGGTGTGCGAACCTTACTCTGTATCTTCCACGTTATAAAATGGGTGAAAAATCAGATCGCGCATCTCGGTGGGTCGAAATTGCAACGAAACAGCATATTCAAGGCTTTTATCGCTGCGTGTACTCCTATCAAGAAGCTGATTTTGAAATCCGGTGGCGAGAACTAGTGGCAATTTGTTCTGAAGATTTCCGGGGATACCTGAACAACAATTGGTACACGTGCAAAGACACCTGGTCCATGGCGTTCCGCAACGGTGCCCGAACATACGGTAACAACACCAATAATACGGTGGAAAACGTTTTTTCAAGCCGTAAAAGTAGCAATCCGGCTTCACCGGCGCACAGCACCACACATGTCTGAGTTCCTCGTGAGTCGTGATACTTCACTCGTTCTGTTGTGAAAAGGTGGCTTTGTCAACGTATTCGTGGTACATCAATCAAACCACCAAACTAGTAGTGTAAGTCGATGCAGTACATCAAGCGGTCTTCGATGACCTGGGGAAGTCGGTAAACGATTGGGCGGTACGAGCCACCCATGTACAATACAAGCTGTTTATAAAGGCGGTGTGTACGACGTCGAGCTGTGGGAAGATGGAAGCGCGACAATTACTTCCAAAAACAACAAGACTTATTTTTGCCGTAACCGTACCGTACCAGTAGGAGCCGTTAGCGAAAACCGTACATAGCCGTACAGAAATTTGCTACTGTTTGGCGGCTCTAATAACATCATTTGAAGCTAAGCGTGTGCAAAAACTCAAACACCGTCCTGGCAGGGCGGCCGAGCGAGTAAACCGAAAAAATCGCTAACTATAACGGAAGCGGAGGCTAACGAGTGGTACCAAAAAAGAGGAGCCAGACCACGAGACGAAAGAGCCGTCTTTTTTCCGCCCGTTATAACAATTGCTTAATTTTCATCCAGAATAGTGGTGTGCAGAGACTCTGGTGGTGTGCAGTATGCTCCTAGTGGTGTTAGGAGATTAAGGTGGTTTTTTCAAAAAAAATTAAAAAATAATAAAAAGTGGTGTGCGGAGCCTGGCGGTGGTGTTTCGTGGTGTGCGGAGACTTTGGTGGTGAAACGTGGTTTGCGGAGCCTTCCCCATAAATTATATGATTAACAAATAACAAGTAAATTGTCACCACTATGTTATAAAAACAATTCAGGAAATATTTCGCTGTTAATTTTCAGAATTATGCAGAAATATTAATACGTCTGGTGTGAAATGCACATTCTAAACTGAATAATTATTAGTTACAGAAACGTTTCGATGTGTTTCTTAAGAAGTTGAAATTATTACTTAAATATCTGCGCAAATGCCTGAAAATAATTAGATAGTCAAGGTAGAAGAAATTTAGTTCACACTAATAAAAAATTCAATTTCAAAATCAACATTCAATTTTAGCTCATCTCATTAAAAAAATAAGTTCAAAAATTCATGTAGGCCATTCATATGCTGCGGAAATTCGTATGAACTCAAACTACAGGTCTTCACATGCTAAAAACGCAGACTAAAAATTCACATAAATCTGCCAACTAATTTTATAATTACATTATTGTATAACAGAACAACTGTACAATAAATTCGGGTTGTGTACTGACCGCCGTGCAGGGTGGTGGCCGAGTAGTTGAGCTTCTCCAGACCCTTGGCCAGCACGTCGGCGCCCTTCTTCTGGTTGACAAAGATGATGATCGGCGGCTCGAATTCCCCGCCATCCAGCACCTGCAGTCAATTCTTCTGTTAATCCCATTTATTTGTAATTAAAAGTCCCTATTATTGTTTCTCCTTGTTTACCTTACCCGCTGCAATTCATCTTTTTAGTAATATTTCCAATTAATAATAACAAGAATAATGATAGTTTTTTATATTCACCTGCGTCTTTAGTACTGTTTTTAATTACTAATAATTACTATTATTATTTCTTCTAATTTATCTGCAGCAGTTATATTTCTTAGTAACATTTTTAATTGTTTAGTATTGACCATTTGACCTGAATTAAGCTGAGTTTCTACTCGTTTGCACCCCTCTTGCGAGGAAAAACACCCAATTTGCCATTATGGTATATCTATATCTAAAGAACATTCTGAACCATTCTGACCCAAAATTAACTGCAATTAAATTCTGATTCAATAACAAATTAAATTCAAAATTAACTGCAATTCAACTGCGATTAAATTCCAAAATAGCTGCCAATAAATTCCAAGTTAATTTCGAATTACACTTAAATTCAAAATTAACACAAATAAATTCCATATTAACTGCAATTAAATTCTAAATCAATTACAAAATTAAATTCAAAATTAACTGCAATTTAATTCCAAATCAAATGCGATTAAATTCCAAAATAGCTGCAAATAAATTCCAAATTAATCACACTTAAATTCGAATTTAACACAAATAATTTCCACATAATTATGTATAAAAATGACGTTTATAATATGCAGTTTATAAATACGTTTACCTTGAGTAGTTTGGTCTTCTTCTCCTGTTCAGAGCACATGAAGACCTGCTGCTCGACGCGGTCGACCGGCTTGCCGACGGTGCCGATGTTGACGATGACGGGTCGCCGCAGGTAGGTGCGAGCCAGCCGCTCGACGGCGGGCGGCATGGTGGCGGTGAACATGACTGTTTGGCGGTACTTGCTCTTGGTGCTGCTGCGCAGGTTGCTCATCAGCAGCGCCTCGTCCTCGGCCTCGTCCGTGTCCGGCTTCTGGTTGCTCACCGGCATGTGGTCCAGGATCTTCTGCACGTCGCCCTCGAAACCCATGTCGATCATGCGGTCCGCTCTGATCAAATTAAAGCAGCCTGAGCATTTTTACAATTAATTATAACTAATTTTTCTAGTCGATTATTTTAAGGAATTTTCAATGGATTTATTTTTATTATTATTTATTATTTTATTATTTAATGTGCTCCAGGATCTTCTGCACGTCCCCTTCGAAGCCCATATCGATCATGCGGTCCGCTCTGATCAAATTAAAACAGCCTGAGCATTTGTAAGTTAATTATAATTATTCAATCGAATCGATAATTTTATCGAATTTTTAATGGAATTATTTTTATATGGTTTCTCTTATTTCAGTATTTAATGTGCTCCAGGATCTGCTGCACGTCGCCCTCGAAACCCATGTCGATCATGCGGTCCGCTCTGGTCACATTAAAACAGGCTGAGAATCTTTACAATTAATTATATTTATTTAATCGAACCGATTACTTTACTGAATTTTTTATGGATTTATTTTATACATATTATATTTATTATTTCACTGCTAAATTTCTGGATCATCTGCACGTCGCCCTCGAAACCCATGTCGATCATGCGGTCCGCTCTGATCAAAATAAAAACACTGTACAATTTCTACAGTAATTATAAACTCCAATTTTTTACAGTAATCATTTTATCCAGTTTTTTTTATGGATCAATTTTATATTTTTTATTACTTCGCTGTTTCACTTCCAACTCACAATATTTTATTTTAGACCAAAAACACACAGTGAAATTAAAAAAAATCCCGTTAAAAACAATTATTTTTATTATTATTTTTTTATTACTTTGTATTATATTCTTTACTTATTTGTTATTATCATTATCTATTACTTTTTTCTTACAAAATGCAACTGAGATGCAATTTAATCAGTTTTGGACTAAATAAATTCGAAGCAACTCAAGAGACAAAATTAAGAGAAACTGAATTTTTAAAATTCATTGTCCGAATAAGAATTTTCTTGTAGAACAAAGTAAGGATAGTTTCCGATGTACCGATTTCTTAATTTAATTATTAAAACTACATACTCATCGAGGACGACGTAGGAGCACTGGTTGAGCACCAGATAGCGGTTCTCCAGGACGTCCAGCAGACGACCCGGCGTGGCGATGACGATCTCGCAGCCCTGACGCAGCTTCATGCCCTGGTCCTCGCGCGACAAACCTGCAGCGTTAAGAATTATTTAAGAATTATTTAAGAATTATTTAAGAATTATTCAAGAATTATTCAAGAATTATTCAAGAATAACTCTAGAATTGTTCAAGAATTTGTTCAAGAATTATTCAAGAATAACTCTAGAACTGTTCAAGAATTATTCAAGAACTATTTAAAGAATAACTCTAGAATTATTCAAGAATTATTCAAGAACTATTCAAGAATTATTTAAGAATTATTTAAGAATTATTCAAGAATTATTCAAGAATTATTTAAGAATTATTTAAGAATTATTTAAGAATTATTCAAGAATTATTTAAGAATTATTTAAGAATTATTTAAGAATTATTTAAGAATTATTCAAGAATTATTCACGAATTGTTCAAGAATTATTTAACAGTTATTAAAGAAAATTTATAAAAATGATTTGATTTATTCCTAGTGAATATCATTTCCATTTAGTTTTTTGTTTGTAAAAATACCATTCCAATCTTTCTAAAATTTCTAAAAATGATTTTAATTTTGTTCCTAATAATTCAAACTTATATGGGTAATTTTCAGTTTCGGAATGTACACTTTTAAATTTCAAAATTCCATATTTCTAATAATATTTCCCGCGTAAAACAAATGTTTCGACCACTACCGACCTCCGATGACGGCGACGGTGCGGACGCCGAGGGGCGTGCCGAACTTGATGGTCTCCTCCTCGATCTGCTGCGCCAACTCGCGCGTCGGCGCCATAATAATGGCGTACGGACCCTGGTCGATGTCGACGTGCTGCACCATCTTGGGCAGCGAGGTGATCCAGGTCAGCAGCGGGATCAAGAAGGCCGCCGTCTTCCCGCTGCCCGTCTCCGCCACGCCGATAATGTCCCGGTTCTGCAGCCCCACCGGGATAGCCTGCCGCTGGATCGGCGTGGGCGAGGCGTAGCCCACTTTCTTGATCACCTCTTGGATTTCCTATGAAATGTTTCCAATTAATTCTTGTTTTCAACTTCAAAATTAAACCAAAAAATTAAGTATTTAAAATTAAATCCGGTATTTTCTTGGAAACTAATCCCAGTTTCACTACTAAGTTATTTCAAATTGGCTTCGTAAGTTCTTACCCAAAAACAAATTATTTTCAATTAATTAAAGATAAAGGGAAGCCAATAAAAATTTAATTTTCAAAGAAAGTTGTTAAATATTAGTTTTTCCGGCAGATTTGCCATAAAATTCTCTCAAATAACTATCCGAGATTATTTTGTGTATTCAGAATATATTCCACCAAATTTGTTTAAATGCAAGTATTTTAATCAATTCTCTTGGAAAATAATTTCACTTCATTTTGTTGCTAAACTGTGTCAAATTAAAAAAAAAGCCTCACAGAATAATTGGCAAAAATTTGCCACTGGAATTCATAACATAAGAAGGAGTAAAAACGTACAAAAAACCGTAATGTCCCAGTGAACCGAAATTTCTTCAAAATTATTAAATGTGGCCTGATGCACGAGGACGCGGAAAGAAACGCCAGCTATAGAGCCACTGTACTACGTTAATTGGCTAATATCACTATACAGCATAGGTTCTAATTTCCTAACTAATTTTTCCAGAAATTTATTTTTTTCTTAAAATTCCCTCTCTATTTTTCCTGTTTTCATAACATTCAGTAATACAGTGAAAGCGCGACAATGATACTATCGGGAGAAAACGCGGAATGTACCGCATCCGGCGGGGGAAGAGAAAACCGGTTCCGATAACCAAGACGATCCCCTCAATTAATTACCAATAATTTTCAATAATAATTTCTACCTATTTTTCAAAATTATTATTGATTAATTTATGTAATCTTAGTTAAATTATTTATTTTTCATCCATGTAAATATCCACTGACCGGCGGGACGTTGGCCTCCTCCCAGGAGCGGATGGGGTTGGGCACGCGGCCGTTCTTGACGATGATGTTGAAGTCCTCGCGGAAGATGCGCCAGTCTCGCTCGTTCATCTCGTCCGGCTCCTTCTCCGACCAGTGCCGGTCGTCGAAGCGCTGCTTGGCCTCGCGCTGCCGGATGGCGGCCTCGTGCACTTTAGCTTGGACTTTCTCCTCGTGGTTGCGCCGGTGCTCGATCAGATCCTGCGCCAACAATCAAAAAAAAGTTCTGAAGAATAACCAATTTCCAATTAAAAGTCATAAAAGAAATATCAACTAAAAAATGTCTATTACTAGGAAAATGCACCGACTAGTTCATCGGCAGACCGGAGCGCAGCTTTGCTTTTGCGCAGCTTTGCTGCTCGATCAGATCCGGCGCCAACAATTCATAGCAGGCATTAACACAGACTAATTAAATTTTCATTAAAAATTAATATCAACTAAAAACCATATATTATTAATGATCAACATATCCTTAATAAAGGCAGAATATTGACTATTTAGTAATTATCCTGCGCCAGCAGTTAAAAAAAGGAATTTAAAAAAATTATTTAAACTGCCAATAAAAATTACAAAAATTATTAACAAAAAACTGTCAGTTATAATTATCAAACTACTCTTTATAAAAGCCAGGCGGTCTCTTTTAACCATTTGATAATCATCCTGCGCCAGGAATTATTAAAGGAATTAAATAAGAATAATCAATTTCCAAATACAAATGCATTATAATTATTAAAATATTCATAATAAATGCAGATGCGCCGGGAATTAAATTATTAACTAAAAAAACACTGAATTACATTAATAATAATAATAACAATACGACTCAATAATACTGTTAAAAAATTATTATAAAATAATAATTATTACAGAAAATAAATACTGTATAATGACTCGTGAAATCAACTTGTACCTGGTAGAATTTGGCGTTCTTCTTCTGGCTCTTGATGTCGATGCCGCCGATGTGTCCGCGGCCGAAGAACTGCACCTGGTGCTTGGCCTTGTAGATGGGGTTGTAGTCCAGCGAGGTGTCCTCGCCGGCGTCCCAGTCGAAGACGAACTTGCGCTCGTTCAGCCGCCGCTGACGCCGCCGCCGTCGCTGCGTCACACCCAGATACCTGTCAATAATAAGGCACATAATAAAAATTAACCGAGTCACTGCACAATAAATTTCTGTCCAGGATGGCCGATTTTCCTTCGAAATGTATATGGGATTCTTCCATGGTTTCCATCAAAAGTTACAACTGGCCGGCAACGTTCAAAAAAAAAATTTCTGACCTTACACAAATATCCCGAATCCCGGCTATTAATATTAGTACTGGCTATTAGGAAATAGGATCACGCCGCGGAGTGACTATTAGCCCCAGCACTACGATCAGCTGACAAGTTACGAATTAAACGCATTCCACGTACGTGTCTGATCGTTAACATTTTACCGAAACACATTAGATCAGAAAATACCATTAAAAACCCACAAAAAATTATAAAAATGCAATAATACATTATTAAAATACAATCTTTATTGGCAATGGCCACCCAAATAACAAAAGATGCATGCGCTGACACCCTACTTAATCGTTAGAATTTAAAAATTAATTATTAATAAACAATAATTATTATTATTAAACATTATTAAAATACATTAATCAGAAAATCTATTAATAGAAAGCCGTCACAACTCCCCATGGGAAATCCAGCGCTCATACCTCTCTTTGATAGCCTGCTCCTCCTTATCCTTGTCCTTCTCCGCGTCGCCCTCCGCCCCGGCGCGCCGCCGTTCCCGACGCTCCGGATCGGAGTCGTCGGTCTCGCTGAAGACCTCTTCGCGGCGATCCCGTCGCTCCCGGGAGCGTTCCCGTTCCCGATCCCGTTCCCGGCGGCGGCGTTCCCGTTCGCGGCTGTTGGAGCGCGAGCGCGACCGCCGCTGCTCGCGTTCCCGCTCGCGACTGCCGCCGCGGCGCCCCGTGCGACGCGCTTCCTGCTCGAACTGCTCGCGCTTCTTCCGCTCCTCGTCCATGCGGGCGCGCATGGCGTTCGCCTATCACAATGCACAGCACTTATTAAGAGAACAAAAACGCCGAATAATTAAAAAAAATAATGGAAAAAGGAAAAAAATAAAGCATGAATACAAATATAAATACCAATCATAAAATAATAAATAAACAGAGTAAATGATAGTAAATAACAGAAAAGGAAAACTGAATACATAAAAAATAAACAGAAGGAAAAGCCCAGAAAGCAGAATGAAAAATACTGTGAAAAGCTTTAAAAAGATTCTTCAAACACAAGAGAAACATCATCAGATGAAAAAGAAATCGCCTAATGAATTAACAAGGGAAAATTCCGAAAAAATAAAAATAAATAAGGAAAAATAAGCCGAATAAATAAAAACAGATCGTGAAAAACCTGAACAGCAGAACAGAAAATACTGTAAACCAGATTAAGAAAGATAAATTAAACAGAAAAAGGTAAAGCATAAAAAAAGATTAAATAAATATTTACTGCCCTTTCGAATAACTGTAAAAGAATTTTGTACAATTATCTGCAGATTCAGATAGCAATCGCAGAACCAGGCAAACGTCGGCAGTTCATTCATGGCGTGTAGCACACTACGCCCATACACTACGCTATCATCAAATTTAGCAGGAGTTACCGTCGGAACGGTTGGTCGGTTGCTTACATCATCGCATTGAACTGAATGGTTTACAGCTATAATTAACGACAAAAAATCAATCAAAATTTACGTAAAAATCTGAATGGTAGTTTCTGAAGTGTATATACCAAAAATTTTGTTTAAAACGTTTCTGTCGCCGCGATTCAGAAACATGTAAAAATTACCCCCAAAAAATTCCATTTTATTTTCAATTTTTTCCCAACTGACGATAGAAATTTTAAAAAAAATGTGGAAATAAATCGAGGAAAATATTAGCAAAACAACTGACACACCTCTTCCTGGCGTTTGCGTAATGCCTCGGCGACACGCTCCTCCTTGGTGAGGAATTTGGGTTTGGCCTGCGCCTGTTCCTCGGCCTTCTTCTTGGCCAGGATCTCCTCCAGGGAGAAGGGCTCCTTCTTCCCTTTCTGCTCCACAATCTGCCCCTCTTCCTCCTCGTCTTCCTCCGCCTTATTCACGCCATCCTCTGCCGCTGATTTATTTTTCAGACGCTTTTTCTCATCGCTGTCCGGCTGGCCGCGCTTCTTCTCGTCGCTGCGGGATTTTACATCGTTTTTCCGCGGTGATTTCTCCCCGTTGCGTGTGCCGGGTTTGTCGTCCTGTGGACGCTTCGCGTCGCGTTCACGCGAGCGCGATCGACGTCTACAAATCCCAATTCAAGTTAAAATCTATTTACATTCATCTGGACTTTTTAATAAGATGAAATTCCATTTTTCGGTCAAATAAAATTTTGCTGGATTAAAAATAATAAATTCATTCACAGATTACATTTACCAAAACAAATCCATTCTACTATTTTCTACACTTTGGAAATTCTGTAATTGGCAGAATAACATTCATCCGGATCTTCTAACAAGATCCAATTACAGTATGTTTTGCGACCAAAGGAAATTCTGCTGGATAAAAATTTCACAAAAAGGAAATTTAATTTTTCAAAATCGAATCAAAATTATTTTATTTAACATTTTATAATTTTATTAATCCTCGTACTGACGATACCTATGGCGAAATTTATTTAATTAAATTTAAGTTCTATATTTAATTTTGATTCTCCAGTTAGTAAAATAAATAACCATTTTTTAATCTATTTTATTTCAAATCTAAAAGTATTCAATTGTTAGTTATAAAATGTAAATTTTTTAATGGGCCAGATTAATTTTATTTATTTATTTTGTGATTTACGTAATTCCAGAAAGCTAGGCGAAAAATTAACCATTTAGATTAACGGTAACCATCGGTTTTTCAGTCACTTTTTCAGGTTTTCTTAATTTTTTAGATTAAATTTACCTTCTTGATGATGATTGTTGGGCATCTTTCTGGCGATCCCGACTATCATCACGCTGTCTCCTCCGTTTGCCATCAACGCCGTTCCTCTCTCCATCCTTTTTTCGATCATCATCGCGCGCAGACGGGCGGTTCTTATCCGATCTGCGCTCGCTGGGCTCCGCGCGCGAAGTCCGTTTTTCCTCGCCGTCCATTTCTGCGCGACAGCTCCCAACGCACGATAATTAAACAGAGAACGATCTGTGCGACTGTATGATATCGGAATTAAATTACCATCATACTAAAACATCCAGCGACGGATACAACGCGTGGGGAAGAATGAGAAACTATTTTAAAGACGAAAAAAAAGCACACGAAACTGCAAAATCACACTCGCACTCAAAAATTCCAGATCAAAAATCAGAAAATCGGATTTTTTAATTTCACGTTCAGATGTGACGAAGTGGCGCAGTATACCAACGCTGGGATGCGCTGTGGCTGCACTGACTGTGCTGTTGCATCAAACAAGTCAATGAACTGCGATCTGTTGCGTCAGAAAATTCTTAGTGTTTTTTTAATTTTAAAGTTTTGCGCTCTTTCACTAACATATCTTACAAAAATTTAATAAATTCGTTGATAAATTAATTTTTTATGATAATCATATCGAATTACATCGTTTAATGGCGTTTTTAATTTCCATCAGCTGATAAAATAATAAAATAACCCGACGGAAATAAACGTGGAGTGTGCTGGTGAGTTTTCTGTACTGCCCGTATTGCAAAATATGCGGTTTACATGGATTCCGGCTGACAAGATGGCGTTCATAGCACATAGCATAAGGCAAATACACACTGCTGCGATAAACCCGGCGCACACTAGAACATTCGGTATACTTAGCGCTTGGATGTATACGGCTGTAACAAGCGGTGCTCTGCTTGCGCCGTATACTTCACCCCGCCCATCGTCTTTGATCGGCACGGCTTGCCACGCGGAGCCGGCGCAGACCGCCGCTCCAGCACGCTTCGGCCCGATATAGCCGACAGCGGCGTGGAATAGAATTTCAGTTCCATCCGGCGCTTGACAGAGGATTCTTGATTCTTTTCCCCATTTTGGACCTTTTCATAAGGTCCCCCCGCAAATTTTCGTATCGTAATTTATTTTCCCAACTCCATTGTAAGTAGTGGCCCGCTTGTGTTGTGTGACGTGTTGTTGAAGCCAATGTGAGCGAACGAACGGTGTGCAAAGAGTGAAATTTGCCTTGCAGAAGGACTTCCAAAGTGTAGCAGAATGTCTGACACAGAGGAACGGTAAGTGATATCTCCCGGGTTCCCCAGCCCCTTGCCATTCATCCCGTCCATCAACCTATGTAATATTTATGCGGAAACCTTCTACAATCTATCCTTTATTTTTTTTAAAAACTCAGCCGTAGAACTTTTGCATTTTGACTTTGTAAACGGAGAGAGTAGCGACCCAACCAAAAAATCGCCGTTTTCTCGGTTTCTCGCTGATAAATTCCTTTTAAAAATTAGAAATAACCCAGCCTGCATTTCTTCTGATTTCTAAAAATAGAGAAATGTTTGGGTAACGTGTGCAAAATGCATGGGAATGGTTTTGCATGTGTATAACATGATTTTGACCGATTTGACGGTTGGCAGAGATGGAGAGGACGTCCAGGTGGAGGACGCTGCCGCGGCCGCTCCCGCCGTCGAGAAAGGCCCCATGGACCTCACCACCGCACTGCAGGAGGTGCTGAAGACGGCCCGTGTTTATGATGGATTAGCCCGTGGCATCCATGAATGCGCCAAGGCGCTGGATAAGTAAGTTTTCCGCGATAGCACCCGTTGGGTTCCACGTCGTCATTGCTTAGTTTTTACCGTATTCTGACTCTTTCCCGCCTTGCTTTGCAGACGCCATGCAGTTTTATGTGTTTTGGCCAAAAACTGTGACGAGCCCATGTATGTTAAACTAGTGGAAGCTCTCTGCAAGGAGCACAACATAAATCTAATCAGGGTAAGTGCGGATATTTCACAAATTCCTGATTTATAAATAAAATATAGCGGAAGTCAGCTGATCCCGGTAACTTAGCATAATTTAGGATACTGTAAGTACGGATCATATGCATAATGCGCGGTAATTGAATGAATTTAGTGGTGAGATAATGTTCCCTGTAATTAAGCATGGTTTAGCACTGTATGTAAACAGAAACGTAAGCATATGCGCATAATTTAACGACGTTTTTGCATGTATTCGATACGCGACTGTGTGTTATCGGTGATTGGTAATTTGCGCAATATTGGCAGGTGGATGATAACAAGAAATTGGGAGAGTATGTCGGTCTTTGCAAATTGGACAAGGAAGGCAAACCGCGGAAGGTCGTCCGTTGCTCCTGTGTTGTAGTCAAAGTAAGGCACCGATTATTCTAATTTAATTCGGAAATAAACTGTTGCATTTTATTTTGTTGATGAATTATAACTTGTCGTAATTAAAAAATATTTCCTCAAATTTATTGCATAATGTTCTTCAGTTTTCTTGCCGTTTATTGTAATTTTGTTGAACTTATTGGGCATTTTATTCCGATTTTTCCCGATTTATTTTCCTGTTTTTGTTGTGTTGATAGTCACAGTAAGCCAACAATTATTCTGATTTAATTTGGAAATTATCTGTTTCATTTTGTTTTGTTGATGGATTCTAATTTACCATAATTAAAAAATATTCCAAATATTTTTTCAAGCTTTTTGGTATTAATGTTCTACATTTTCTTGCCGTTTGTATATTTTTGGTTAGTTTGTTGGGATTTTATTCTAATTTATTTTTGTTCGATTTGTTGGGAATTTTGTTCTAATTTATTTTTGTTTGATTTATTATGAATTTTATTCTCATTTATTTTTGTTTGATTTGTCGGGAGTTTTATTCTAATTTATTTTTGTTTAATTTGCTGGGAATTTTTTCTGATTTTAATTTTTTTTTAACAGGATTATGGTAAAGAAGGCGCAGCACATGAAATTCTACGGAATTATTTCAAGAAGGCGGGTGGAGGCGGCGGCGACGATGAGGAGGATTAACGGCGCAGGAGGGCACATGTCTGTTTTTTTTTGTAATGCAGATGCTTTCTGGCGAGTTAGTCGGCCTGATTTGTTGTTGAAACCGGCACATGCGGCGATTTCTCCAATAAAAAGAAATTATTGCGCAGCGGCGTGTTGTGCGTTGTTTCGTTGCCTTTTGATTCCGTGCAAATTTACAAATTTGCCATAAAATACATACGTAAAATTCGCATTTATAAGGAATAAAAAAGTCTGTATTTCTGTAAAGATAAAAAATAGGAAAAAAGAGAAATATTCTGTCCAGTAAAAAATAAATAAAAACAATTCCGAATTAATTTTAATATTTTCTACATAGTAGAAAAATTAGGGGAAAAATGCGTAATTATTATTTTCTAACATTTTTACTAGCGAAATGTAATACAGCAAACAAATTTTGTCATTTTTTATCAGCAGAAAAAATGGGAATTGTTGTGGCAGGAACGTGGCGATAAATCCAGAAAATTATGAACAAAATAATAAAAAAAAATTAGAGAAAAATGATCCGAAGGTTTCGCTTTTATTTCGCTGCGTTGCACTTGTTGTACAAATGTAAAAATCTACCAAAAATACAAACGTCGAAAAGTCATCAAAATGGATAAAAAAACGGCATTTTTGTAGAGACCAAAAATCAGGAAGACAACAGAATTTTTTCCAGTCGAAAAACACGCAAAAATAGAATTATTTTTCGATTATTCACCAGCAGAAAAATAAGGAAAAAATGCAGAATTATTTTTTTTATATATCCCAGTAGAAACTAATACAGGACAGATTTGATTCTTTTTATCACACAGAAAAAAAAATAGGAAATATAACGGCAGGAACGTGGCGGATAAATACCGGAAATTAGAAACAAATAATAAAAAAATCATGGAAAAAATACTGCGCTGAATTATTCGGCTTTAGGACGTAAATGCAGTACAGGCGGTTCGGGTTTATTTAGGGGAATTTTGGCGGATGCCGGCCGCGATGCCGGCGGTGTGCGGTAGCGGCGAATATAGGCGGAAATGTAGAAGCGCGAGAAAAGGATGACCAGGGAAACTAGGAAGGCGATGTTGACCACGTGCAGCCAGAACGGATAATCGCAGCCGGTTAATAAACCCGTCAGTGTCGCCGTGATTACGCACAAAAACTGCACCTGTATCAACCAAAATTATGCGGAATTATCAAGTTATATAGCAATATTTTAATAATATATACATATTTTAAAGAAATTAATCAATAAAATTATCAATTAATTTCTGGATAAATTATAAAGGTATTAAAATTAATAATTAATGCCGGCTGTTCGGGTGAACTGATTATTATAATTAAAATTAAATTCCAATTTCACAACTATAGCAAATTATTAATAAGTAAATTAAATGCGAACAGCCTGCGGAATATGTAAACAGGAACATACAAAAAAATCAATTAATTATAGAGTCGTGTCATAAAAAATATTAGAAAGAAAATCACATAATAAATACGGACACATAAAACAGAAAATCAATTAACAATAAAATCGCGGTAATTTAAAAAATAATTAAAAATAAAATCACATAATAATACGGACATATAAAACGGAAAAACAATCATTAATCAATTCGTGTAAATTAAAACAAATTAGTATTACAAGAAAAACCCAGTTGTAATTTCTGCAGTTATTAAAAAAATTCCTGTAAAAAAATTAATAATAAAATACAAATTGTTTTGCATTATTTATAAAATTTTTTGTGGGTCGTACCAGTTGGAGCTGCGTGAGATAGCGCTTCCACCAGAGATACGGGTGCAGCGCCGGGAAGAGCGCCAGCGCGTAGTACGAGTACATGACCACGTGGACAAAACTGTTCAACATCGCGCTGAACACCGCTGCAAAAATATTAAAAATCAACGTAGCGAAAAAATGGAAAATATCAAAATTTTTTAATAACATACCTTGACAACAGGGTCCGTCCATCATCACAAAATACCACTGAAAAACAGGAAAAATTAAACGTAATAAATCATACTGCCTTCAAACCGGCTAAACACAGACTGCGCTTGTCAAATTATTTAAAAATCGAAATTAGAAATTTTTTTCTGAGGGAAAAATACATTAAAATTTCCGAGAATGAGAATTAAATCCTAAAGCGCTTAAAAACTGTCAAAAAAAATCCCCATTTGACAGCACACCTAAAAAACATAAAATATAATGTAAATAACCTTATACTAAATAAATTTCAAAAAATTAAAGCGGAGATAATTCTTCGATAATTTATTTAGGAATAATTTTCATCTGATGAATTTTTAATCATGCGGAAAAGAGGGAAATCCGAAATCAAAAACATTTCCTAAGAATAATTATCCATTGAAACAATCGCAGAGCAAAATTCTTATGAAATAATTTATTCACTGCGATTTTTTAAATTTAAAAAATTTAATTTTAATTTTCCTTTTTACTGTAACTGTGGAAAAAATGGACATCAATGTGACGGCAAGAATAATAAATTCAGGAATAAAAAAGTATAAAACGCTGTGCACGGAAAGCGTTGAGAAAATAATTTAAAATAATAATTTTAATTCTGTAATTAATGTTTTTATTGTTAAAAAATTTAGAAAAAATGTGCACTGACCAGCGGGAACATGACGGCATGATGGTAGACATGGAGAAAGGTCAGCTGTTTCTCCTTCTTCTTTAACACCATAAACACTGTGTCCAGGAATTCCACCGCTTTCGACACATAATACGCCCATAGCGCTCGCACAATCTGGCAGTAAAAGAGCGGATTTATTTCGGATAAATCGGAATTTAATTTTTGTATCAGTCGCGACTTACGCGCAGTTCCGTCGGGGCGAAGGACACCGAGTAGGGTGTGCAGAAATAATTGTAGCCGGCCAGTTGACTGTTGATTAACAGCTGCAACACCACACACATCCACATAATCTCACGCTGCTAATTTTATCCAATATTCATCCAACTTTTTCAACCATATTTTTGGAATGTTTTGGAATTTATTTACAAACAATGTAGCTTTTTTTAAAAATAATTTTTAAATCGCTTTAAATGTTATTCCTTTTCTTTGAATTTTTAATCTATTTAATTTCTTCAGTAATTTAGAAAAAGTATTTAAAATTATCAAATTATAATTTTAATAACATTTTATTTTCTAATTGTGGATTCTTTCAAAAGAACATGTTTTAAAATTAATTTTTAGGTGCTTTGGAATTTATTCCTCATTTGCTGAAGTTTTTAATTGGTTTTTATCAACTTTCTGAATTTTAAAAACTGTCGAAAAAATTATACTATTTTCAATCACATAATCAAAATGTATTTTGTATTTGTGGATTGCCCCACACTGAAATCCACAATCCCGAGAAACAGTTCAATGGTCAAAAATGGCAAAAACATTAAAAGAAAAATGTTGACCTACAACTTGGAGATGTTCGAAAAATCAACTATACCAACGCAAAAAAATGCCACAGCAGAATTTACAAAATTCGAAAAATTCAAAAATTTAAAAGAAAAATTTGCTTATCCAAAATTTATAAAATTCAGTGAATATTTCTTGATAGTTGATAACATAAAAAACCTGTTTATTAAATATAATTTAGTCTACTTGTAACTCAAATTCGAAAATTGAAAATCTGTGAAATTCATCACGATGTGTAAAACTCCGATAAATATTTTTTGTTAACAAAAAATCCCGTTACGGCAGGTAATGTAATTTAAATTAAAATCAAAATTTGAAAATTCAATAAAAATATCTTGATAACATAAAAAAATCTAACCTGTTAAATTTATTATTGCCCATGATTAAATTAGACCGATACTACTGCATGCAACCGAGCAGGTTGAGGAATCAGTGCATGCTGGAGCCACTGTTCTACGTTTAACCACACATGTACGAGGCGTACTTCAGCGAACATCCAGCCGGACCAGACGACCACTACCATTTTACTTTTTATTCAAATTAATTTTTAATTCACTTTTTATTTACTTTTGAGTTTTGCTTTATTAAAAATTAACGATACTCTCCGTAGCCATTAGCACTGTTGGCTTTAATTGTGAATATTCCCAAAACGCAAAGCCACTGCTCTACGATTTGCCCGTTATTGGCACTCACTTCAGCGAACATCCAGCCGGACCAGACGACCATGACGACGTTGTAGACCAGCATTAACCGGCGCAATTCACACGCCGGACGCTGCCGCATGATCCGCGGCCCGAGCCACACGAAGAGCAGGTAGCCGGCCGTGATGCCCAGCACCAGATCCATTTTCCCCATCAGCAACAGATCCCGCGAGCGCACATCTGCCCAGCACAGTGCTCTGCATTATGGCTCTTCACTATCACGAACGGCAGAATTTTTTGTATTTATTCTTATATACTTTTTCCAACCGTTTGGACAATAATTTTATGTTGTAATATTTTTAATTTACAGTATATTTCTATTACATTATCACATATACAAAATAAAACAGTAATTCTGCGTAGTAGTAACAATAATTTTCATCTATAATTTATAAATAAATTATGAGAATATTTATCCGATCCTCTGATACAGTTTTTCATTTTTAACCGAGCACATAAGGATTTCTTCTGGAAAAAATACGTCAGAAAAATCTAACTATGCCGTAAAAATTAGCGTAAATTAAAAAATAATTTATTAATTAATTAATATTATTTTAATTATTAAAAACTAATTTATTTAAATCTGCTGAAATTTCACTGGGCTTTACGGCAATCTTTTCACTTTAAGACACTGCAGTGACGCGTAACCTAAACGCCTGAGCAGTCACTCTACTAAGAAACCAACACAACGGCACAGCGTTCACGCAACGGAATCGGCTAACAACAAGCAAAATCAAATTTTCAATATGAGGTTTTCATAAGGTTCACTACGTAATTACCTAGACGTATCAGATAAATTTTGGATGTATCTCAAGCCAGTTAAATTTTCATGGAATCTCCAACACAAATAAACAAACACCAATTACAATAATATGGGATATTTAAATTTATTCCGCGAATATTTTCTGATGATTTATTGTAAATCAACAAACAACAAAATTAAATGAAGTAAAAATATTTAACAAACTATATTAAAAAACTATAATATTAATTTACAAAGATAAATAAAAATAAATATAAATTGACTGAAACATAATATGTATTTATAATTATTTTATAATTTACGGAAATATTTTTCAACAGTTATTCCATTGCAATTAATTTTATTCTTTTGCTCATATTTCTCGATCTAAAACTACTGTGAAGAATAATTTAAAAATAAAAATTTTTATTTGCAACCGTTTCAGTTTTTACAGCCCCGTCTGATTTGGAAACAATCTAATTTGAAGCCTGAAATGTGAAACCCTGGATATAACTCAGGTTCTGCGTTTTCATTAAACTTCGCCTTACCGCCGTTATCATACACTTTCTGCGCCATCTCCTCGTACTTCCCCGCCAGGAAACTCAGGGATAAATTCCCGGCATCCGTCGGCGGTCTCCGCACCCGGGACCACCCCCAGCTCGCCGTCGTCCAGCGCGGGGGGTGCTGAGCCGTCGGCCGCTATCCAGTCCGCATCGCGTCCCATTCCCTCCGCGTCCATCCTCCGCTGCAATGGGCGAGAGAAAAAAATGTTTTCTTCACGCGGATAAATGCCTGATAAACTGCACGTGGTAGGGTCCTGCGTCACGCCACATAACAGCACACATTGCGAGAGTCAGCAGCATTTTCTTTGGTTGGCGTTGCAGTTGCTAGACAGTCGGATAGCGATCGAATGTTGTTACGCTGTAACGTTACAGACTGCAGTGTTTATCAACTGGGAGATGGTATCGATAGAAAGGTTTTCCAAAACACACGGAACGGTTCACGCTCCAAAGACTACAGATCGCACAAAGAACGAAAGCGGAAAGATATGGAATTCCGAATGGCCGCGAGTTTTGTTGATTTTAAACTTTGATTTCAAATTCTTTGTCTTAAAATCAACGATTACAAATCGATGATTTTCAAACACCATGATCTGAAATCAATGATTTTTACATCAATGATTGCGAATCACTGATTTCCAAGTCATGATTTTTCGACTCCGTGATTTCTAACCATTGATTTAAGTTCAGTGATTTTCATTCAACGATTTTCAGTAGTGTGAACTGACATCAATGATTTTCTATCATTGATTTAGAATCAATGATTATCAATCGTTGATTTTGTACCACTGATTTTGCTTCATCAAAGATTGCGCTTTACTGATTTTCAATCACTTGATTTAAGTTCAGTGTTTAAAAACCAACGATCGACAATCAATGATTTCCAATATGTAACCGCCGCACCGTGCACCGGAAGAGCGACTAAAGGCAACGGTCTTGCGTTCAACACGTTCGACTCGACAATGATAACTCAGCGGTTTTCACGATAATCTGTCAATATTCACTGGCCAGATTTATTCAGTGTTGCCAGTTTTACAGTACTGTACTTGCGAATATGCGTCCACCTTGTAAAACTCGGTTCTGTCCGTTCTTCCCGTTCCTTAGGTTTCCTAGGAATTTTTTATTGCAGTGGCAGTTATTTGATTTTTCATTTGGAAAATGGAAGTCCATGGAGAAGTTCTGGAGAACCCTGACATCCGCCAGCACGCCACTAAAGAGCATTTTCAGCAGTTTCAGATCGATATTATGTTGGCTTATTATAATGCTGGGCTGAAAATTCCTCATTCCGTGGCCCGCACGCATATCGCTGAAAAGATCGGTCAACCTGGAAGCCACAGGGCACGGGCAAAAACGAGTTGGGACTTGGTTCAAAAATCGCCGAGAGAAAGAGAAGAAACTCACACAACTGGCAGAAAAGAAGGAACAGGCTGGTGTGGGTACCGTTGATGTTATGTCTCTACCACAGGATGTCACTTTGCAGCCTGCAGATGTATAAAACCCGGTGTTTATCGGAAAATGCTAATGTGGACAATAAGATCAATTAATTGCACTTGTGCGATTCTTTATGGTTTAATAACTGGATAGATGCAGATCCTAACGCAGCTGGTTTAAATCCGCAGTAAAGGTCAGGAGACGAGTAAAGAAGAATGAGCAGCAATTTACATAAATAGGAAATTTTGCGTGATTGCACAAAGACAGCCACTCACTAAATACAATGTAAGAAAATTAAACTTTATTCCAGCCACAAATTATTCTGTATTGTGGAAGCAGAAAAGTTTAGTCAAGTTTAATTTTTTGTATAAAACTTTCAGAGTACAGTACGTAAAAGTGCAGTTATAGAATTAATGCTTGGACAACACTGATTTTATAACAAATTATGAAGACAGCACGATACATTATACTACGCATTTGGTTTTGGATGATGATGCCAGGCATTCCGAATATTAGGCAATCCCTGCCGCATTGAATTCTCTCATCGAGAGGTTCTGGCCGCGATTCTCAGAAATATTGTGCCTTAAATCTGTAAATGTGTACGTTGTAATCGTAAGGCCTGCGTAATAAAAGCGCTTAGATGTAAGTATTGTAACCGCCCAATAACTACACCTCATGCCGCCACATATGGCAACCTACGTTGACCTTTTACTGCTGACCAGGGCTACGCGACAGGTCGTCGCGGGACATTTGGTTGTACGGACATTTCGTCTAAGGACAACCCGTTTTTGTGGCAAATAGTCATATGACTGTTCGTTGTCATAAACCAGTCGATAATTTTTGGCTCCCCAAATGTCGGACGACCAAATATCATCCAACAAAACGGCTGCATAACGAGTTGTCCCAAAACAAATTAGCCGCTGCAACGAAAACCTGTGGCGATATGTCCCACGACGAAATGTCCCGCGACCACTTGGGCTGTCACGCTGACCAGCACCAGTGTTAATTTACATGTGCATTACTACTGCATTATGCGCTAATTATCGGTTATTTTGCGAAATTGGCGGCAATGCTACCTGCTAGTGACGCGCATGCTCGGAATCAATACTTGAGTATGTGATCTCTCCAGCTGTTTGTTTGCCGGGAATGCGGGAAGTTTGTGTACAATTTTCTGCACGCGTGAACAATAATCAGTTTCACAGCAGGTTCAATATTACTCAACATTAGTTAAAATTTTATAAACCGGGCAGAATGCATCACACGAAAAAAGTGTATGTTTATGTATCTGCGCTGAGTGCGCTGTACGGAAATTTCAAAATATCATCTGATTTAATAACAAACGGTCTTTTAATTGTCAGAAGCAAAATAAAGCATATACATTAGAGTATTTTTCGGCATTTTGAAAATATTTTCGATTCGGTCGCAACAAACAGAACGAAGTGTGTAAGGATGCTGTACTTTCACATAACTTTACGTCATTAACATATGGATCCGAGACATCTCTCTGGCACGCAGTTTTCTTTTTTTGCGTCGGAAGCCTTATTTTATTTATATAACAGGACTTATTAAATTTTATTATATGTCCTTCCTCGTCAAATCTCTGATCACGTTATGTTATTTGTTGCGCATCCATAGGTTTGTAATCCATACGGGAAAGGGGATTACATGGAGATTAAAGGCGGAAGCAACATCTCTGTCAACAATATGATCACCTTCAAATAGTTATGCGGCGCCAGCGCGGGCGAAGTTAGGCGGACATATATATGTGTGCGGAGAAAAGGAAAATATTTCCCTTAAAGGTCACACGACTATGTACGGTATATAGCAAATTGCTATATACCGTAGCACTAATATTGCTATTAGCAATATCAAAAGTGAATGATGTATATTGTTGTAGAAGAGACATTTGGGATTCTGCGGCAGTACACTGGTCCGTTTGCTGTTCAGTGGTGCACACGACAATGTCGTCGTGATAGAAACCGATTCCCTGGATGAAACGGAAGCCGATCAGCCCAACAGCAGAAATAACGTGTGCCGGCTGATATAAAAGATGTGCGCGCGCACTTGACCTTTCGAAACTGTCCTTCAGTGCAGTGCGCAGGAAAAACGGCGAATTTATAATGTGTATGTGGTGTGCAGCTTTGTGCTAGTCAGTCGTGCTGAAATGCGCGACATTTTACCAAAGTTGACATTTTAAATATTTAATAAACCAAATAATATCAGTGTAATACGATAAAGTAAGGGCATATGCTATGCAGTTAACATAAAACAACATCGCTGTGAGTGGTTTGTGCATGGTGTGCACTCTTTATCATGCATTCACATTCCACTTCTTGTATGGTTTTTTCTGGGTGTGTTTGACGATAAATCGAAAATCTACTGTCCGGCATCAAAATCAAAACAAATAGTACGACCGCACACTTCATGCTTACTATACATCTAATTAAGAACGACATAGAAATTCACACCAAGGTTCAATTTATTTGCAAAATAAAGGCGCATTTCGTGTTTTCCACGCACCTTAAGATTCCACAAAATGTCGTTGGTATTACACAATAATTTATGGTACTTTTCCGTTATCCATTAAGATCAAATGTCACAAATTTTGTTATGTACTAACATCAAAGAAAAACACGGCATGCAGACAATAAAAAACAACAAAGTATGCATTCACCAATGCACAGTACAGTCAGTGCAGCTAACAAAATCTAATTTTGTGCTAATACGGGTACTAAGGTAGAGAATGGTATAACCAATAAAAAAAGCCGCACCTAACAAAAAAATTCACAAAATAACAATAAAACACAGAGCTCATCCGACATTAACCGTAAAAAAGCAAATGACACAAACTGTTCTTCAAGCCCAAGAGAACGAGGTATTTCGCTCTGTTTCCCTCTTTCAAGGCATCACCACCACGTCGTCATTCACCGCCTGTGTCGGGACGATGGAGAGGAAGTGATGCAGCCGGCCGGGTTGGGCAGGAAGGTGAACATTAACCGCTGGGCACGACCTGCCTTCTTCAGTTCGGCGGTGGTGATGGCTTTGCGGCGTTCTTTCTTCGTATGCGGTGAGAGATGGTAGAAGAAATCCTCCGGTGCATCGGGAAATGGTAGCCGGCCATTGGCGGACCGCACCTTCGGCTTGGCGGGAAAGGCCATCTCACCGCTGTCCAGTTTGACGCGTTTGTAGGGCGGAGAGGGAACACGGGATTCTTTCTCTTTGTCTTTGCCGTTTGTGCGCATGCTAGCAGGTACAGTCAACAGCGCATGTCCTACAAAAGGCAATTAGTAAGAATTTCGCATCGTTTTTCGAACCAGTGCTTGTAAAACAAGGCATATGATATTTGTTCAGTCAGATGCTGGTCGACGGAAACGAAATGTTTAGTCAGATATTTAATGTAGTAAGATAAGGCACAAAATGCTGGTAACGGAAGTCTTTTATTGAGATATATTGAATTTATATTTTCAGAAGACGTAAACCTGTAACGAATATTTTTACAATGGCTGTAGAAAGAAATTAAATTTTAGTAAGTCTTTTTAGCAAAAATGTTTAGAAACCATCCAGGTCAAAGGTGTATCTCAACGAATCAGTTAATTTTAAGGCACTGTTTTCAACACCAAATTCTATAGTCTAGTGTCCAATTTCAAAACAGTTACCTGGCGAATTTCTACTTGTCTCTGAGTAGTCGGTATCAGTTTTTTTGGCTGACGAACGGCGCATTTAATCAAAATCGTTTCAGTTTCACAATTAGTTACTGGAACACTGATAACCAGCACAGCAAAAGGCATTCCATAAATGCACATCATTATTCTGAAGTCAGTCGCTGCCAAGCAAGCAAATCTCAAAAGCTAAAATTAATAAATCGAAGCTTATTATTATATCTTAATGACGTTCTAATTCAAATCGACATAATTGTAGGAGAATGCCGACAAAGCAAAATCACAAAAGCTAAAAATCTCAATATTGACATGAACACGACTCATTTCGTTCAGGTATAGCTCATTCCAGCGTCATAGTGATGCCGCTTAATCCGCAATTCCGCAGTTCCGTTTAATCTGCAATTCCAGTTTTCCACAATAAACTGCATACCATGTACCAGTACCTGTGAAAAAACATCACCGTATCAGTACCGCTTGTAAAGCTACATGAATTACGCTGGTAAAGAACTGCAAATGGAGAAAAGTTGTTGCTTACGATTCAGTTAAACTGGAAATGCCCTGCATTTCATTATCCACTGACGCAATACAGTCCCGCAAACCTTCCAGTAGTTGCTCTTTGCTCATGCATCCGCTCGGAAGAGTCAGCTTGTTAGTACAGGTCGTAGCGGTTGGACGTCGGTTTCCGTCCCGTGCGAATGTGAATGAAACTTCAATCTTTGGCGTTGCAGGTACCATGTACGATCCGGTGATAAATCGTAACAGTTGCTTGCGTTCGTGCTGGCTAAACTCTTCCAAAATTATGTCATCAAGCCATGCCATTGTCTGGATTTCTTCGTCATCCGCAGTATCTTCGTTCAACGTTTTGAACTGCTCCAGCAGATCTTTGCCCTCCATCACAGCGCGGTACAGCTGCGGCTCAAAGCGTTTCCAGTCGGAGCGAAACGCCATCAGTTCCTGTATAAGACTACAGTATTGAAAACTTTTCAAAACCGCAAAAAAGTGTCACATTTTACCTTGTACATTTTTCCGGCTACCAGTCCCTCGTAGACATACTTCAAATTCCCGGCACGTTTGTGGACCAGTTCAAATTCCGCAATTAGTCTGCACAGTTGCTCACGTCCGTGTTCCAGAAGGACAGCACACTGCAATACAACTAATCAATCATACCGCTGTTTTAACATGGTTATCTCGTTATCTTACCGGGAATTTCAGATTCAAATCAGCCCACTCCCTCAGCGCTTCCTCGTTCTCCAGCACGACAGGTCCCACACCAGACATAATGCCATCGATCATACTGCCGATACCGGGACTGAACGAGAAAATATCATTGACCTCAATGGGAAGATTCAACAAGTAGCGGAACACTGAAGAGTTCAACCAAGTAACGAAGGGCGCTCCATGTAAAACTGAATCTCGCAATAAGTGTCCGAATGCTCGAAGTGCAGAATGTCCCGCTTCGGTGACAATGGCATCCGACGATATTAATACAACTGTTGCACATTGTTCGAACAACGTAATGCCTAAATCCGGGATGCGGTAGTGAAGAAATGCTTGACCAAGCTTCGTCATGACCTCCTTATACGGGCCGTCCAAGTCAGTTGCACTACAGCAAATCATTCACCATAGAGACAAATGCATTTTTAACAAACACGGTGTGTACCAGTATAAGCCTTTCTGACAGCAGTTTTAGCGGCTAGCATAATAAATGTCTTGCAGCGCCCTTTTCACTTGCTAAAACATTTGCAAGAATTTCTGAACAGTTTGCTTACTCTTCGATTTGAATACATGGCCTTCCCCCATCAGCCAAATTAGGACCATGCGCATAGTGGAAGTCGATCCAGTTCTGGACGTTATCGTTCCCGGAATCCATTCAAACACGTAATTCGACTTGAACATGGGTTCTCGTCCGGTGACCTTACACACAATTGCTTACGCAACTGCTCCACCGATGCTTCCACAGCGTTTTCTTCCTGGTCAGGAAAGTTTCCCACGCGCATTCGCTAGAAAGTTACGACAATATACACCAATTTTGGATCATAGACAATTTATCGAGTTAATCGAAGAAAACAAAAAAATATCAAAACTACGAAGAAAAGCGTTTGAATTATTTTTAATTCGCTCACTTTGAACATTCGAATTATTTTAAATTAATTAATTGTAATTAAATTTAAATTTTAAATTAGCTCACTCACTTTAGCAGGCAACTGGTGGTTTGCGATTTCACTGGCGCCGCTGTTTTCAAGTGCAACATCTTCCGCATCACTTTCATCTGAAGGAACGTAGATGATAGGCACAGTGGATCGGAGACTTCGATGAATACCACTGACATCTTGGTTTAGCTGGGCCGCAACAGTGCCACGGCGCACTGGTTGAGGCGACGAGGAGGGTGAAACGTCAAATATAGAGTTATTACGAGCAGCCAAATCAGAAGTACGCTGGCTTGACAATCCCGATGTACTGGCGCCGCTTAATCGCGACGTACTGGCGCCGAAGGATCGTAAAATGTTGCTCATCCCACTGTTACCGTTTAATTCATCTAAAATATAACAAAACTTGTAGCTTTTTTGACAGCTTCATGTCGAAACCTCCAAGTTGCACACACTCATACTCACCGGTAAAACCACGCAGTCCCAGCTCTTCAACAGTCTTCCCTTCGGACTGGAAAACATATGAACTTAATCAACCGGATACATCTTCATTCCCGAATTCTGTTTACCTCAGCAAATCTCTCGACAAGTTCTCGTGAAATGTTGATGATTCCGCTGTCGGCCGCAATGTACATGCGATTTACAGTTTCGCGATTTGGATTTTCCGAATACCTGCATTTATCGCCAAATTAATTCAAACTAATTTTCTCATCTAATGGCTGTAAATAAATGATACGTTATTCGCTTACATCTGCTGGAACGCCCATGATGGAGACTCTGTCGGCAAATTTGCTGGGAAGATGTGCTTCCCGGAGAGGTAAACGCGATCCGGGTTATTGGGATCCACCACAATACGACTAAGCAGAATCCATTCCCTGCCTTGCAAGAAATTGGCGAACTCTTCGTTGATTTTCATTCGAATGTGCTGTCCACTGAGCTCTTGAAAATTGACGCGTTTAATCAATCCACAAAATCGCATTAATTCCAATTCGGTTTTGCCCTCACTGTATAAAACATGCCAGAAACATTACAGCTTGTGATAACCGTTTAACGCACACGTGTTCTTAAATTGCAAGCCGTATGCGCATAGCTGGTAAACTTACCGCGCTCGTTGTGTTGGAATAGCATTCTTGTCTCGGTAGCGGAACAAATAGACATCCATGGGATATTCGAAAGCGACCTGGGAACTTCAAGACATTTCGCTGCGCGGGCGTTGAACTAGCAGGTGAACGGAACATTCCGAGACTTTGGCGTCTTGCTCCACGTCCCCCGCCACGGGCGCCTTGCAACGGAGACTGTCCGAACGATCCGCCTGGTGGATAACCATATGGTGCAGATGGACGCGACCGTGACCCTTGAAGTCCAATACTCTGGCGTCCGCCACTAAATCCAGCATTCTGAGGATTCAGTCCATGCTGTACTCCAGGCTGCTGCATGCGGGCTAGCTGCATTCCCGGCTGCTGAATTCGCGCTACCTGCATACCATTTCCAGTGTTGCCTCGGACTTCTGGAGCGCCAGTTATGCTTTGTCCAAATGATCTACCGTCATGTTGAACTGCTCCACGCGAATGCGGCGTATAGCTGTTGGCGGCTGCGCTGTTATTGATCGTAACAGGGGCTTGCGTGGTATTGACGCCTTCAATCGAACCGCTGGCAGGTGCACTGCGTTGGATGTCCACTTGACGGCCCAGAATGTCCATATAGTTGATCAACCTATGATTCCCCAAATAATGCTTACATGTCTCTTCCTCACATTTGGTGCTTCCTTGGGCTCGGTACGAAAAATCCACTTCTTCTGGAGTAGAGATTATACATCCGCAAGCAGAAGCCATACACTTGTATTTCCACATCGCAGGATCCGCCATGTTTTCGGCTAACTGGAAAAATGTTGCATTGACAATTAAAGGTTCAAATTAACTCATCAGTTAAAAAACTGCAATTAAATTTTTGCCCAAACTTTAGCCGCCTACACTAGCAATCGCAGTAATGATCGCTCCTTCTGCAGGCGTGTTCATTTGGAAGTGTCCAATGAAATCCAGTTCACGCAATGTTAACCAATGGCTACTCGCAAAATTTAGCGGTCTGTTCGTGGGAATGCAGAGAACAGCCCACCGGCGGCAGCTTTGAAACTAACGTGCCGCTAAAAATTCATTGTTTCTATTGTATGCCGGTTTCTAGGAGTAATCGCCCACCTGGCCAGATCGGATCGCCCTGCTCCGTGATGCCGGTATTCTGGAAGAGCGGAAAGAACGATTGTAGTGCGTAGCGTAGTGTGCCCGCGGTCCGTGATGAGGCTCGTGGGTCCCGGCACGCCCAGATCGAGTAAGGCATTCCGCACTTTCATTTGCGTGGTGCGGTAGCCGGGTATGCTGTCGGACAGTTCAGCGGTTGGATTGGAGAGTTCACTGCGGAAGAGATTCAGTGTTTGCCGGTAGCAGAAGTCCATATCCGTTATCGAGGCCTGACATAATTATGCACAACATTACCGTTTCATTATGTGCAACATTTATTATGTGCAACGTTCTGAGTCTGACCGGAAAGAAAACATCCCGACCGCACTAGCACGGCAACGCAGACCAAGCCAGAGATCGCCCGCATCATTCCACAATTCCTGCTACAAAAAATGCGGCACTGTCGCTCAGACACTAAATATTACCTCACACGGTATAAAATGGAAGTGAAGGAACTTAACAACCAGCAACAACCATACTAAACACAACCGTTCTTTTAATAAACGTCTTTAGGAATTACAACCAATTAAGCCACCATAACTGTCAACATCAACTACATGGTATCTCCTCTAGCATTTGTCATTGTGTAAACGACACAGGTGAAAAACACACTAAATCATACAGGAGTACAACACACTGACATTGCGTTAGTTTAAACCTGTACACAGTCTGCTTCGACACATCTAACGATCCACTTCCCGAAGACGATATCCAGTGCCCCGATGATGGCCACAATGTCGGCCAACATCTGTGCTGCTTACCGATATGATTGATGGCCGCGAGATGCGTGAAGCCGGGCGCCTTGATTTTACAGCGGCATGGGGCGGCTGGTGCCGTCCGACACCAGGTAGATCCCGAACTCTCCTTTGGGCGCCTCCACGGCGGTGTAGGTGAAGCCGGGCGGGGCTTGGACGCCTTCGGTGTACAACCTTGAAATGATGGATTAAGGCCTCCACCGATTCCTGCAAACAGCAGATTTTTCCAGTGAACCGGGTTATCATGGCATAAGTATTATGCAAAAGTATGAAAATGTGAAAGCCATACTGGCGCTGTTCTGTGAACGTACGTGCGGAATACTTAAACATAGCGAAAATAAGAGAGGAGGCGACGAAAATAGCGACCGTTAAGTAAGCTGCAGTATTCACAGAATTTCACGGAAATTAAAATCGTGAATCGAAAACTTCACATACCATTACACACTCAAACAGTGTGCAGATGTGCTTTCACTGGGTAATACGGACATGCTAATGAGATCACATTCGGTGACCAAGTGAAAGCCTCCTCAAAATGGGATTCTCTTAGCACCGTTTTGACCGAACAAGCTCATGAGAAATAACCTATCGGCTTCGATACGTGCTGTCAGAACATCCACATACTATCGTAATATGCTGCCGAATACTTACATTACCACTAACGTTGCGCATCTAAATAATTGTTTTAATTATATGCCTTTCTACTTCATAAAATTATTTGTGCACTAATTTGACCAATTTACCCATTTTACAAGAAACCACCATGCACCGTACGACACGGTCGTAAGCATACCTTCATTACCTTTCGAGAGGGATGCACCACCTTGTATCGTCCACTTTGATCTCGCCAGGTGGCATTTTATTCAGGCACTGATGGATGATCCGCAGCGACTGGCGCATTCCTCCACGCGCACCAGGTAGCGATCGTAGCAATCCCAGTGTGAACCGATGGGAACATCAAACTCCACTTGATTGTATGCATCGTACGGCTGCACTTTACGCAAATTTCTTTTGATGCCGGATCCTCGTACATCGCACCACTGTAAGAACGAATTCACAAGTTTTCATGTCAGCATAATTCTTGCGAGTATTTAATTCGGAATGAAACAGTATGATTTCAAGGAATGTGTGCGTACGACTTAAATGTGTATGCACTACGTATGAGTTAAATTAAGGTGCAAAACTATACCAATCTTTCCAACATTGTCAATTCTTCTCGTAGCTCTAAAGAAACTGAAACATGCAATGCCAGCAAAACATCAAAATCAACGAGACACACCTCATCTCATAAGCAAGCGCGTCCTCCGCCGACACCGTTCCAGTGCCGACAGTTCGGGCTTTCCAGATACGATTACCAGTAAGGAAATCTTCCAGTTCATCCAGGCGTTGGTTATACTTAATAGCCCAGTCGTAGATGTCATCCGTCAATCCCAACGGCAAATCGTACTGCACTCCACCGGGACAAGCATAATTCGCGTGCATCCGGGCGCCGGATAATCGTTCAAAAATTCACACAACTAAAGGGTGCAAACATTTATCAGTGCCATTCTTGCTTTGCTTTTTCCACCTGTTACAGTACTCATAAGAAAACTAATTAGATTCATATTAATTACAATAAAATTACAGTACACTGCAGTTCCTCACTTGCTGTTGTTAATAAATCAGCGACGTCGACTTATTGCAGAATAATATGTAAGTACCTTTTCGCATTCCTCAAACAACCAGAAAAAAGGCGTCATTGCTCTGATATTCAGGGCATGCGTATTGTAATTTAAAATACGAGTAAGTTCTCCGAATAAAACTGCAGAAAAACCCAGCACATTTTAACACTTACGGAGAACGGAGTTACAGTAATCAGCAATGTACGTTAAAAGATCTGTTAGAAAGAAGTAACAAAAAAATGCTCTATTCGCTTTTGGAAAGCGAAAGAAATTAACAAAAACCCACCTATAATCCATTCCGCACGGATGGGAATACCGAATACCGATATGGGAATACCGGAATATCGATATTTAATAATTTCTCAATAGCCAGGGAGAAGCACTGCTCATTGCACAACATGGACACGTAATCCAGACGGTCCATGTACGTCAGAACCTGCATGTAGGTTTTACACTTGATTAACTTCTCCGTGGCGCGATGCAGCAACCCAATATGGGGATCAGCCCGCACCACCGTCTGCAAGAAAAACATCCATACAAATTTTAAAATTCACGCTGTCCAAAATGCTTGCATAGCCAGCAAATCGGGTATTTCCTGTACAGCATGTCTGGACGACAGCAAAAGACATTGTGCTAAGGCAGATACGAAGCATAACGCAAAAGAATTAACCCGCCTTTCCGTCTAACTCCAAAACCAAACGTAATACACCGTGCGCTGCGGGATGTTGCGGGCCCAAATTGCGGGATATTGCGCATTTTCTTCTCCACAGGAACAGTCGCCACTGCAACAGCCCGTTCCATTACTTAATATTCACAACAAAACATCACCACAGGCATAGATGCGCTGCCTATATGGGCTTACTGCTGGTGGACACGATATCATGTTTTCCCAAGGCGAGGCTTATCTTCAGGCTAATTTAAAATAAGAATCCCAACAAATCTTGACGGCCACAAGAAAACCGTGTGTGGTTTATCTAAGTTTAGCATCACTTTCCAGTTTCCACTGTGTGGGTCGGGCACTCTACAAAAAAAGCGGAACAATTAGTTCTAACAAGCAGGCTTTTGTATTCGAGGGAGAACGGCTTTGGTTGTGCATTTGAAAACCTAAAGAATGAACAAGAAAGAAATGTCTTTAATAAAGCACGCCACCGTGCCACTTTAACCTGTCTCAGATCAACTATCCAGCCTTATTCTACAGAGCAGGTTATGGCAACTCATAAGATACTGCAGCCTATTACGACGGTTGACAAATTAAATTCTCTAATTGTGAATAGAAAATAAATGAGTCAATGCCCAGGCCATCTGACTCTCAAATGAGGATGACGGTATTACACGGCTTTCTCCTACGCGAAGCCGAAACGTACTGCACCGCACTTACGGAATAGTATCCCGTCCACATGTCCCTCGCCTGACCGAGAGACACAGGCCACAGGTTCCGCAAAATGTCGCGACTCGCGAGAAATATGATTGCCGAATAGCAATATTGGTTGCGGTTGGCAGAGCTGCCTGTCGAAACTCCGTGTTAATGAAACTGAAGAATCTGTAACCGGAGCGCGCAATATAATACAAATGCGTGTTGGGACATCCAATTTACACCGACATAACATGAAACAAAATTTAGAACAGAAACTCACAACGATAGGCGCTTTTCTGCCATACAATCGTAGGGCTCAACCCATGATATCGCCTGCGGTTTACACTGCTGGAAAGAAACCTGAAGAAAATAAACATTATCTTTCGGATACTGAGATATGATACGTATAATCTGGTATACCTTCCACACTTTACAGCGCAGGATTACGTAACTAAGCTTTACGATACAAATGTTGTAATTTTTTACAAAGCACTTAGTAATCGTAAAAGTACTAACAGTAAGTGTTCTTTCAAGAATAACCGTCCGCATAGCTGATGACGCACAGAATTAGCTGAGCAGAGATAATTCACTGTTTTAAACTTTTAATGATTATTATTTATTTGTGTACGTTTTCAACACAAGTACACTCACTAGAGTTAACAAGTTTGAGAGAAAACTAAAACGCCAAACATTTAAAATGTTCGTATGGAGTAGGCTACTTGAAAGTCAACAACATTACAAACAAAACTTAAAAGGCCCATGCAGCAAGTCACATTATGCACGAGTTGATGTACTACTTGCCAGTCTACTTACCGACGCGATTTCTTTCAGTGGAAATGTTCTTCTAAAAGTTCTTTCGCTGCTTGAAAACATTAATTCCATAAAATCCATCACTCGCTCGCACATCCATATTCGCCCTTATGAAATCAGCTTCAGCAGGAAAGCTACTGATGATGTCCATTACCGGAACAGCATCTCTAGAATGAGCCACTTGATTCCTTATAAAGTCCGGAAAATCTTGAGGCGCATCCACATCTGTTTCAGGCAGCTCGTCACCTGCCGTTAATAGTTGCTGCAGCGGAAAACCTTTTAACCCTTTTTCATGGCAGCCGAGTATAAAAGTTGTCTTGGAGAACGCTCATGCTCCGTCCGGAGTTTGTGATTATTAAAAACTCAGTAAACTGATTCAGCTGATCTTGAATCCTGTCCAAGTAGACTAAATGCAGAATCATCATGTCGAGGATTTGTATAATCCAAAATCCCCATATTTTCCATATGGATGAATACAGACCGAAATAACTTGATAACAACGCGGCCAAGGTCTCTCCACAGCCGTTCTATCCGTTGATTGTGAACCGATGGTCCCATTATAATACTCGCGCGATTTGGTCCCATATAGTGTTCCATCCAGCGTGCAACTCCAAAATTTTCCCTAATTGAAATATATTTTAGAGAGCAGTTATATAACCGGCAAACTTAAAACGTGAAATCGTATTGTACCAAAAAAGCGCTGTAGCAAAAAACCAAAAGGGTGAAAATTATGACAAAAATCAAAATTTTACTTTAAACGCATTTTCACCTCCGCAATCGCTTCTCACTCTAGAAGGCGCACCCCACTCTTCCGCACCAGACAGGAACGCTTCCAGCACTGTACTAGCTCGATTGTTCGTTGCAACAATGAGAGAAATAATCGTCCTGGAATATCCGTCTATAATTCCATGTATAACGAATCCCCAGCGAACCAACTTGTGATTCCCATCCATGTGCCATAAAGCGTTCGGACCAGGATTAGAATATACTCTTCGGGGAACAAAAGTGAGATATCTGTTAGCAACTCCGTACGGATCAATTCTTCGCAACGATGAAAGTATTCTCCTGCGCTGGATGTACAATCCTCCAGTCTTAAGCTGTCCAAAAATATAACGGTATCCGACATTTGGAAATGATTCCAAAATTCCCGCAATCAATAAATCCAAATCAGCATCACTAATCGTTGAAAACTACAATTAAAACGAAAGATATTACAACCGAGGGCAACTATCTTCCTGGTCAGGAAAGTTTCCCACGCGCATTCGCTAGAAAGTTACGACAGTATACACCAATTTTGGATCATAGACAATTTATCGAGTTAATCGAAGAAAACAAAAAAATATCAAAACTACGAAGAAAAGCGTTTGAATTATTTTTAATTCGCTCACTTTGAACATTCGAATTATTTTAAATTAATTAATTGTAATTAAATTTAAATTTTAAATTAGCTCACTCACTTTAGCAGGCAACTGGTGGTTTGCGATTTCACTGGCGCCGCTGTTTTCAAGTGCATCTTCCGCATCACTTTCATCTGAAGGAACGTAGATGATAGGCACAGTGGATCGGAGACTTCGATGAATACCACTGACATCTTGGTTTAGCTGGGCCGCAACAGTGCCACGGCGCACTGGTTGAGGCGACGAGGAGGGTGAAACGTCAAATATAGAGTTATTACGAGCAGCCAAATCAGAAGTACGCTGGCTTGACAATCCCGATGTACTGGCGCCGCTTAATCGCGACGTACTGGCGCCGAAGGATCGTAAAATGTTGCTCATCCCACTGTTACCGTTTAATTCATCTAAAAATATAACAAAACTTGTAGCTTTTGACAGCTTCATGTCGAAACCTCCAAGTTGCACACACTCATACTCACCGGTAAAACCACGCAGTCCCAGCTCTTCAACAGTCTTCCCTTCGGACTGGAAAACATATGAACTTAATCAACCGGATACATCTTCATTCCCGAATTCTGTTTACCTCAGCAAATCTCTCGACAAGTTCTCGTGAAATGTTGATGATTCCGCTGTCGGCCGCAATGTACATGCGATTTACAGTTTCGCGATTTGGATTTTCCGAATACCTGCATTTATCGCCAAATTAATTCAAACTAATTTTCTCATCTAATGGCTGTAAATAAATGATACGTTATTCGCTTACATCTGCTGGAACGCCCATGATGGAGACTCTGTCGGCAAATTTGCTGGGAAGATGTGCTTCCCGGAGAGGTAAACGCGATCCGGGTTATTGGGATCTACCACAATACGACTAAGCAGAATCCATTCCCTGCCTTGCAAGAAATTGGCGAACTCTTCGTTGATTTTCATTCGAATGTGCTGTCCACTGAGCTCTTGAAAATTGACGCGTTTAATCAATCCACAAAATCGCATTAATTCCAATTCGGTTTTGCCCTCACTGTATAAAACATGCCAGAAACATTACAGCTTGTGATAACCGTTTAACGCACACGTGTTCTTAAATTGCAAGCCGTATGCGCATAGCTGGTAAACTTACCGCGCTCGTTGTGTTGGAATAGCATTCTTGTCTCGGTAGCGGAACAAATAGACATCCATGGGATATTCGAAAGCGACCTGGGGAACTTCAAGACATTTCATGCGCGGGCGTTGAACTAGCAGGTGAACGGAACATTCCGAGACTTTGGCGTCTTGCTCCACGTCCCCCGCCACGGGCGCCTTGCAACGGAGACTGTCCGAACGATCCGCCTGGTGGATAACCATATGGTGCAGATGGACGCGACCGTGACCCTTGAAGTCCAATACTCTGGCGTCCGCCACTAAATCCAGCATTCTGAGGATTCAGTCCATGCTGTACTCCAGGCTGCTGCATGCGGGCTAGCTGCATTCCCGGCTGCTGAATTCGCGCTACCTGCATACCATTTCCAGTGTTGCCTCGGACTTCTGGAGCGCCAGTTATGCTTTGTCCAAATGATCTACCGTCATGTTGAACTGCTCCACGCGAATGCGGCGTATAGCTGTTGGCGGCTGCGCTGTTATTGATCGTAACAGGGGCTTGCGTGGTATTGACGCCTTCAATCGAACCGCTGGCAGGTGCACTGCGTTGGATGTCCACTTGACGGCCCAGAATGTCCATATAGTTGATCAACCTATGATTCCCCAAATAATGCTTACATGTCTCTTCCTCACATTTGGTGCTTCCTTGGGCTCGGTACGAAAATCCACTTCTTCTGGAGTAGAGATTATACATCCGCAAGCAGAAGCCATACACTTGTATTTCCACATCGCAGGATCCGCCATGTTTTCGGCTAACTGGAAAAATGTTGCATTGACAATTAAAGGTTCAAATTAACTCATCAGTTAAAAAACTGCAATTAAATTTTTGCCCAAACTTTAGCCGCCTACACTAGCAATCGCAGTAATGATCGCTCCTTCTGCAGGCGTGTTCATTTGGAAGTGTCCAATGAAATCCAGTTCACGCAATGTTAACCAATGGCTACTGCAAAATTTAGCGGTCTGTTCGTGGGAATGCAGAGAACAGCCCACCGGCGGCAGCTTTGAAACTAACGTGCCGCTAAAATTCATTGTTTCTATTGTATGCCGGTTTCTAGGAGTAATCGCCCACCTGGCCAGATCGGATCGCCCTGCTCCGTGATGCCGGTATTCTGGAAGAGCGGAAAGAACGATTGTAGTGCGTAGCGTAGTGTGCCCGCGGTCCGTGATGAGGCTCGTGGGTCCCGGCACGCCCAGATCGAGTAAGGCATTCCGCACTTTCATTTGCGTGGTGCGGTAGCCGGGTATGCTGTCGGACAGTTCAGCGGTTGGATTGGAGAGTTCACTGCGGAAGAGATTCAGTGTTTGCCGGTAGCAGAAGTCCATATCCGTTATCGAGGCCTGACATAATTATGCACAACATTACCGTTTCATTATGTGCAACATTTATTATGTGCAACGTTCTGAGTCTGACCGGAAAGAAAACATCCCGACCGCACTAGCACGGCAACGCAGACCAAGCCAGAGATCGCCCGCATCATTCCACAATTCCTGCTACAAAAAAATGCGGCACTGTCGCTCAGACACTAAATATTACCTCACACGGTATAAAATGGAAGTGAAGGAGCTTGACAACCAGCAACAACCATACTAAACACAACCGTTCTTTTAATAAACGCCTTTATGAATTACAACCAATTAAGCTACCATAACTGTCAACATCAACTACATGGTATCTCCTCTAGCATTTGTCATTGTGTAAACGACACAGGTGAAAACACACTAAATCATACAGGAGTACAACACACTGACATTGCGTTAGTTTAAACCTGTACACAGTCTGCTTCGACACATCTAACGATCCACTTCCCCGAAGACGATATCCAGTGCCCCGATGATGGCCACAATGTCGGCCAACATATGTGCTGCTTGCCGATATGATCGATGGCCGCGAGATGCGTGAAGCCGGGCGCCTTGATTTTACAGCGGCAGGGGCGGCTGGTGCCGTCCGACACCAGGTAGATCCCGAACTCCCCTTTGAGCGCCTCCACGGCGGTGTAGGTGAAGCCGGGCGGGGCTTGGACGCCTTCGGTGTACAACCTTGAAATGATGGATTAAGGCCTCCACCGATTCCTGCAAACAGCAGATTTTTCCAGTGAACCGGGTTATCATGGCATAAGTATTATGCAAAAGTATGAAAATGTGAAAGCCATACTGGCGCTGTTCTGCGAACGTACGTGCGGAATACTTAAACATAGCAAAAATAAGAGAGGAGGCGACGAAAATAGCGACCGTTAAGTAAGCTGCAGTATTCACAGAATTTCACGGAAATTAAAATCGTGAATCGAAAAACTTCACATACCATTACACACTCAAACAGTGTGCAGATGTGCTTTCACTGTAATACGGACATGCTAATGAGATCACATTCGGTGACCAAGTGAAAGCCTCCTCAAAATGGGATTCTCTTAGCACCGTTTTGACCGAACAAGCTCATGAGAAATAACCTATCGGCTTCGATACGTGCTGTCAGAACATCCACATACTATCGTAATATGCTGCCGAATACTTACATTACCACTAACGTTGCGCATCTAAATAATTGTTTTAATTATATGCCTTTCTACTTCATAAAATTATTTGTGCACTAATTTGACCAATTTACCCATTTTACAAGAAACCACCATGCACCGTACGACACGGTCGTAAGCATACCTTCATTACCTTTCGAGAGGGATGCACCACCTTGTATCGTCCACTTTGATCTCGCCAGGTGGCATTTTATTCAGGCACTGATGGATGATCCGCAGCGACTGGCGCATTTCCTCCACGCGCACCAGGTAGCGATCGTAGCAATCCCAGTGTGAACCGATGGGAACATCAAACTCCACTTGATTGTATGCATCGTACGGCTGCACTTTACGCAAATTTCTTTTGATGCCGGATCCTCGTACATCGCACCACTGTAAGAACGAATTCACAAGTTTTCATGTCAGCATAATTCTTGCGAGTATTTAATTCGGAATGAAACAGTATGATTTCAAGGAATGTGTGCGTACGACTTAAATGTGTATGCACTACGTATGAGTTAAATTAAGGTGCAAAACTATACCAATCTTTCCAACATTGTCAATTCTTCTCGTAGCTCTAAAGAAACTGAAACATGCAATGCCAGCAAAACATCAAAATCAACGAGACACACCTCATCTCATAAGCAAGCGCGTCCTCCGCCGACACCGTTCCAGTGCCGACAGTTCGGGCTTTCCAGATACGATTACCAGTAAGGAAATCTTCCAGTTCATCCAGGCGTTGGTTATACTTAATAGCCCAGTCGTAGATGTCATCCGTCAATCCCAACGGCAAATCGTACTGCACTCCACCGGGACAAGCATAATTCGCGTGCATCCGGGCGCCGGATAATCGTTCAAAAATTCACACAACTAAAAGGGTGCAAACATTTATCAGTGCCATTCTTGCTTTGCTTTTTCCACCTGTTACAGTACTCATAAGAAAACTAATTAGATTCATATTAATTACAATAAAATTACAGTACACTGCAGTTCCTCACTTGCTGTTGTTAATAAATCAGCGACGTCGACTTATTGCAGAATAATATGTAAGTACCTTTTCGCATTCCTCAAACAACCAGAAAAAAGGCGTCATTGCTCTGATATTCAGGGCATGCGTATTGTAATTTAAAATACGAGTAAGTTCTCCGAATAAAACTGCAGAAAAACCCAGCACATTTTAACACTTACGGAGAACGGAGTTACAGTAATCAGCAATGTACGTTAAAAGATCTGTTAGAAAGAAGTAACAAAAATGCTCTATTCGCTTTTGGAAAGCGAAAGAAATTAACAAACCCACCTATAATCCATTCCGCACGGATGGGAATACCGAATACCGATATGGGAATACCGGAATATCGATATTTAATAATTTCTCAATAGCCAGGAGAAGCACTGCTCATTGCACAACATGGACACGTAATCCAGACGGTCCATGTACGTCAGGGCCTGCATGTAGGTTTTACACTTGATTAACTTCTCCGTGGCGCGATGCAGCAACCCAATATGGGGATCAGCCCGCACCACCGTCTGCAAGAAAAACATCCATACAAATTTTAAAAATTCACGCTGTCCAAAATGCTTGCATAGCCAGCAAATCGGGTATTTCCTGTACAGCATGTCTGGACGACAGCAAAAAGACATTGTGCTAAGGCAGATACGAAGCATAACGCAAAAGAATTAACCCGCCTTTCCGTCTAACTCCAAAACCAAACGTAATACACCGTGCGCTGCGGGATGTTGCGGGCCCAAATTGCGGATATTGCGCATTTTCTTCTCCACAGGAACAGTCGCCACTGCAACAGCCCGTTCCATTACTTAATATTCACAACAAAACATCACCACAGGCATAGATGCGCTGCCTATATGGGCTTACTGCTGGTGGACACGATATCATGTTTTCCCAAGGCGAGAGGCTTATCTTCAGGCTAATTTAAAATAAGAATCCCAACAAATCTTGACGGCCACAAGAAAACCGTGTGTGGTTTATCTAAGTTTAGCATCACTTTCCAGTTTCCACTGTGTGGTCGGGCACTCTACAAAAAAAGCGGAACAATTAGTTCTAACAAGCAGGCTTTTGTATTCGAGGGAGAACGGCTTTGGTTGTGCATTTGAAAACCTAAAGAATGAACAAGAAAGAAATGTCTTTAATAAAGCACGCCACCGTGCCACTTTAACCTGTCTCAGATCAACTATCCAGCCTTATTCTACAGAGCAGGTTATGGCAACTCATAAGATACTGCAGCCTATTACGACGGTTGACAAATTAAATTCTCTAATTGTGAATAGAAAATAAATGAGTCAATGCCCAGGCCATCTGACTCTCAAATGAGGATGACGGTATTACACGGCTTTCTCCTACGCGAAGCCGAAACGTACTGCACCGCACTTACGGAATAGTATCCTGTCCACATGTCCCTCGCCTGACCGAGAGACACAGGCCACAGGTTCCGCAAAATGTCGCGACTCGCGAGAAATATGATTGCCGAATAGCAATATTGGTTGCGGTTGGCAGAGCTGCCTGTCGAAACTCCGTGTTAATGAAACTGAAGAATCTGTAACCGGAGCGCGCAATATAATACAAATGCGTGTTGGGACATCCAATTTACACCGACATAACATGAAACAAAATTTAGAACGAAACTCACAACGATAGGCGCTTTTCTGCCATACAATCGTAGGGCTCAACCCATGATATCGCCTGCGGTTTACACTGCTGGAAAGAAACCTGAAGAAAATAAACATTATCTTTCGGATACTGAGATATGATACGTATAATCTGGTATACCTTCCACACTTTACAGCGCAGGATTACGTAACTAAGCTTTACGATACAAATGTTGTAATTTTTTACAAAGCACTTAGTAATCGTAAAAAGTACTAACAGTAAGTGTTCTTTCAAGAATAACCGTCCGCATAGCTGATGACGCACAGAATTAGCTGAGCAGAGATAATTCACTGTTTTAAACTTTTAATGATTATTATTTATTTGTGTACGTTTTCAACACAAGTACACTCACTAGAGTTAACAAGTTTGAGAGAAAACTAAAACGCCAAACATTTAAAATGTTCGTATGGAGTAGGCTACTTGAAAGTCAACAACATTACAAACAAAACTTAAAAGGCCCATGCAGCAAGTCACATTATGCACGAGTTGATGTACTACTTGCCAGTCTACTTACCGACGCGATTTCTTTCAGTGGAAATGTTCTTCTAAAAGTTCTTTCGCTGCTTGAAAACATTAATTCCATAAAATCCATCACTCGCTCGCACATCCATATTCGCCCTTATGAAATCAGCTTCAGCAGGAAAGCTACTGATGATGTCCATTACCGGAACAGCATCTCTAGAATGAGCCACTTGATTCCTTATAAAGTCCGGAAAATCTTGAGGCGCATCCACATCTGTTTCAGGCAGCTCGTCACCTGCCGTTAATAGTTGCTGCAGCGGAAAACCTTTTAACCCTTTTTCATGGCAGCCGAGTATAAAAAGTTGTCTTGGAGAACGCTCATGCTCCGTCCGGAGTTTGTGATTATTAAAAAACTCAGTAAACTGATTCAGCTGATCTTGAATCCTGTCCAAGTAGACTAAATGCAGAATCATCATGTCCCGAGGATTTGTATAATCCAAAATCCCCATATTTTCCATATGGATGAATACAGACCGAAATAACTTGATAACAACGCGGCCAAGGTCTCTCCACAGCCGTTCTATCCGTTGATTGTGAACCGATGGTCCCATTATAATACTCGCGCGATTTGGTCCCATATAGTGTTCCATCCAGCGTGCAACTCCAAAATTTTCCCCTAATTGAAATATTACCGAGAGCAGTTATATAACCGGCAAACTCAAAACGTGATATCGTAGTGTACCAAAAAAGCGCTGTAGCAAAAACCAAAAGGGTGAAAATTTTGACAAAAAATCAAAACTTTACTTTAAACGCATTTTCACCTCCGCAATCGCTTCTCACTCTAGAAGGCGCACCCCACGCTTCCGCACCAGACAGGAACGCTTCCAGCACTGTACTAGCTCGATTGTTCGTTGCAACAATGAGAGAAATAATCGTCCTGGAATATCCGTCTATAATTCCATGTATAACGAATCCCCAGCGAACCAACTTGTGATTCCCATCCATGTGCCATAAAGCGTTCGGACCAGGATTAGAATATACTCTTCGGGGAACAAAAGTGAGATATCTGTTAGCAACTCCGTACGGATCAATTCTTCGCAACGATGAAAGTATTCTCCTGCGCTGGATGTACAATCCTCCAGTCTTAAGCTGTCCAAAAATATAACGGTATCCGACATTTGGAAATGATTCCAAAATTCCCGCAATCAATAAATCCAAATCAGCATCACTAATCGTTGAAAACTACAATTAAAACGAAAGATATTACAACCGAGGGCAACTGAAAACAGTTACAGCAGTTCACAATCAAGTAGTTCTTTAATAGCTTGTTCGGCCAGTAAACAACCTGTCAAACTATGCACCAGTGCAAGCTTACCTTTTTATTTAAACCAGCTTCTGCCAATCGCTGCTTAACTGTCGTAACTCCAACTCCATAAAACCGAGCTATGTCCTTCACTGTAAATCCTTCAGATCGCAAACCAGCCAAATCATCCTCGGGAATAAAAAGTCTTCCATACGAATTAGTGCACTCAGTTAAGGCAAAAACAGATTTCGTCCCATCTTCGTCTTCCTGCAGTCGAAGTCGTAAAGCACTCGAGCAATCAATAAGTGTATCGAACAGCTCCTGAGCCCTCCGCTCCTCCGGTAAATTGTCGCAAATATCACGCGTATATCTGCTAGACGAAACATTCAAGTACAAACAAAATATTGTGAAACCGTTGCGGCGTTGCTGTTCAGAACTTACCCGAGTAAATAATCAACCTGTGTCAACGCTCCGTCAACACCATCTTGATCGTGGTCCCCATCCTCAGCTGAAAGAAACCGCTGAGCTCGTCTTACGACCGAATCCGCAAAGATATAAAATTGATCCATTTTGTTCTCTCAAGGTTCACTACGAAAACCAAATAAATCTTCTAGAAAACAGAAAAGATAAAAGACTGTCAACATTGCTATTTCCAGCCAGACTGAAACTATATTCCAGTAGTTTGGGAAAACTCCAGCAATACAACACAAATTCCATTAAACCACCGCAACTGGTCCGGTGGAAATGGAATTGGAACCGGAAAAAATTTAAAGTCCGAATAACAGGTTTCCGGTGCACGCGGTGGCGATCAGAGTCACTCCTTTCGGTGCACGGGGCGGCGGTTACATATTGGAAATCATTGATTGTCGATCGTTGATTTTTAAACACTGAACTTAAATCAAGTGATTGAAAATCAGTAAAGTGCAGTCTTTGCTGAAGCAAAATCAGTGGTACAAAATCAACGATTGATAATCATTGATTCTAAATCAATGATAGAAAATCATTGATGTCAGTTCACGCTACTGAAAATCGTTGAATGAAAATCACTGAACTTAAATCAATGGTTGGAAATCACGGTGTCGAAAAATCATGACTTGGAAATCAGTGATTCGCAATCATTGATGTAAAAATCATTGATTTCAAATCATGGTGTTTGAAAATCATCGATTTGTAATCGTTGATTTCAAGACAAAGAATTTGAAATCAAAGTTTAAAATCAACAAAACTCGCGGCCATTCGGAATTCCATAGAAAGAGAGACAAAAATACTGCGAAGACGGCAAATTGCCCAAGCGTAAGTCCACAGCAGAGAGTGTGACTGTGGAAAGTTTCCGTGCCCCGTGGCGGTTGGCCTGCACGCAGGTGTGAAGAATGCCGTTGCAAGCTTTGATGAAGCGGGGGCTGTCTGGGTTGTACGACAACTGCTGCCTTCCAAAACAAAATTTCTTTGGAGTTCTCCTTTTGTTGAAATTCCCTGAATTTTGATGGACAGTCGTTTGCATTTGTGTATGAAATCAAAACAGAAATTTGTCAGGCCAGGATTTTTGTATCATTTTGCTAATTGCTGTCATCGTAGCGTCATGCTTGGAGTTTATTTTGAACTGTTTTCCGGTGGCGGGCGGACAGTGAGCACAGATCAGGCACTGCCATAGATATCCTCGTGACCTTACGACCTTTCTTTGTTACACCGGTTTTCCCTGCCATTTTTTTTATGCAGTAGTACGAGAAATCTTTACATTGAGAAATCTTTAATGGTGATAACTGATAAGTACACCAAAATTTTCACTTTCGCGCAATCCCAAACACTTAATTTTGCAACGTTTTATTGGATTCTGTGTAGCCAAACGATTTATCCAGGTTTGATGTGAAAACCGCTGAAATGCGCCCAACATCCGGTTGGGAAGTTATGCGGTGAAACTAGAAATCCGGAAAGTTTTAACGCAAAAACGCGTAGCAACAGTCTCATTATGAACCGATCTCCTGCAAATTGTGATTTGTGAACCAAACAGCTACAAGCACAAAACTGTTTTAAATACAAAAACCGGAAATCTTGGCATTTTGAAATAAATTTTAAAATTCGAAGACCATGATGAAAACCTGGTTTCGTGTCAAAGCGCCGATCTTTATGCGGATGTGCAATTCTGTGCATACCCTGAACTCTGAAGGAGGTCGGCCCATAATGGGACTTTTGGTACACTTTATTTTTTCCATAAATCCATAAACGGATGTAGCGCTCACAAACGGTTTTCGCACCAACGGGCATAAATCATTTGGCTACAACATGCACAATAAAACAATGCAAAAAGTGTTTCTATGTCAGCGAAAGAAAATTATTATTTAGGATGCCTGGTCATCAAGTAAAACTCTATGCGCACACGTACTGTAGCTTTTGTACGCAAACATCACTTGTTATTCTGCACGAACTGCGGTAGTACGGTACATGTATATGATTGTTTACTGTTTTGTTACTCCTGCTTGTAAGTTGTAAGTTGTAACTTATTGTACGCATATAGATACGAGCGATGTAACGCGATACCCGGAGCCAAGTTTGTGTACATGCACGAAATCGTTATGCTGCAAAATTCGTGCATTCCGGCAAGTGCGTTTTTCACTTGTATGGTGCAATTACGCATCGATCTGTGCAATGTATGCATACATGCCAGCATAATTATTTTACATGTTAATCGTGTATATTTTTTATGTAACGTATTCATATATTATCCTTAACATATACCCTGTAGACCGTGAAAGGGTGGTGCCAATACGGTGCTAAGTTCGGCTGGGTATCGAATTGACAAGAAGCGGTAAAAAAGTCAAAATTACTAATACAGTACAGTAGAATGCGTCAGCGTAATTCGCGTACCTCGGTCGCGGCGCAGCGCGCGCTGCACAATCCGCGTGACCTTTACGTTCAGGTTGGCTGCTGCCACGGTGGGAGAGGCCAGGTGACCGTTGTTGTTCTGACGGATGTCATACGCACATGGAGAGAGTTGGCATACAAGAAGAGGAAATCGATATTTTTTGATAGCATCTTTCTTTGACGAAATCGTAAACTGGCTGACTTCTACTCGTACGAATGGTTACTTACCATTTTTGATTTTTCCCCTTATCAGTAAAGTACGGCTACATATCGCCAACTCCCGAATTCTTACTTAGTTCGTGTGGGATGCAATATCTGCTTCCCGTTACAACAGAAATTTGCAGGATGCTGCTGATCCGTGCAATAACTACCGACGCCAGTGCTGTCTGCAAAATTTATACCGTCCATGTGGGAATAACGGAGTGTCAAAGTAACGAAAGAAACTTTATGCGAAAGGTCATCAACCGAAATGGTCTTGAAAGGTCATGAGCGGAGTGAACGCCACAAACGTTACATTTTACATAAGTGCTGCACCCGTGTACAACGCAGCCTTAACAACGTACGTACGTACAGATACAACGGGGACGCCAATAGCAGTTTTTGGCCAATTAAACTGGCTGGTTTGCGACTGAAAGATAGCTGATCAGATTTCTATGACAGCGCTGCTGCGATAGTGAAGGCAAGCCATACGGTAGATCAGTGAATCGACTTGTTGCGTACGTAACTTAGAGAATGATGCCCCTTAATGTCCGAAGCATTTTCACGTTGTACGTACATCAGGTTGTGGGATGACGTCCCCGGCAATTAATTTATCAGCGAGCATCTCTCTGCCGTTTGTCAGCCGGTAGAGCCGTTGAAAAAGCCGTCCAGTCCATTTGTTCTACTCCGCTTTAAACTGGATATTTCCTGCCACAGACTGCGTTCGAGCAATGCCTGCAAAACTTTGTGAGGCAGTGTGCTAAGCAAAGACTTTTCTGAATTTTGTTAAAGGAATTCCTCACATTAAGAAGCTCTTACTTCACGGTACGTAAATAAACGTTGATAGTTAATCATAACATTTTTGGTATTTTACGATACAGTTTCCGTTTAATATTCTCTTATTTAATTTATCAATAAATTGTGCTTTATATTGAACGACAGATGGGGATGCTGCATCGAAGAAGAAGGAATCTCTAACCGGGCGATTTCGACGGCAGCTACGGGATTTCGAAAGTGGAGTTCGGCCCCCTAGTGGCACCTCGACCACAAAACCCCGCGGCGGGCACCGCGCGACTGATGATGCAGAACATTTACGCCGAATGGTGGATTCATGCATCAACGAATGCTCTGTGCATAAAGCTGTTGCTCGATTGGCGTCCGAAGAAAGCGTGCTTAATATTGATGCCAAAGTTTTATCGGTTCTCCGTTCGAAACACTCTGACGCACCAGTGGATACGAATTTTCCTGTTCCCGCAGAGAATGACGTGCCCACGTTCGCGCCCATCACGGCTGCGGAAGTTATCAGTGCTGTTTTTAGCTTTCCAAGCGGATCCGCGGGAGGGTTGGATGGTCTCCGTCCACAACACCTCAAAGATATGCTGAGTTGCAAGGATGCTGCCGAATCTCAACTTTGTTCTGCATTGTGTAAGCTAATGAGTTTTATTGTGGCTGGCAAGGTGCCGGAGGAGGTGCGACCTGTTTTGTTTGGCGCGAACCTGATTGCCTTGTCTAAGAAAGATGGCGGTGTTCGGCCTATTGCTGTGGGTAACGTTTTACGAAGACTAGCTGCCAAGATTGTCACAAAGCGATGTGGTAAGAAAGCAAAGGAATTTTTTACTCCTACTCAAGTTGGATGTGGCACACGCGGTGGAGCGGAAGCAGCTGTGCACGCCGTTCGGAGTTTTATAAACGATGAACACGACGCCCTACGGGTTCTTTTTAAAATTGATTACAGAAATGCTTTTAACACCGTCCGCCGTGATGTTATGTTGCAGTCTGTATTAGAGCACTTTCCCGAATATTATCCGTTTGTTTTGAGTGCGTATGGAGCGCCATCTACCTTATCATGCAATGGCAGTGAGGAAGATTTGTCTTCCGCCACGGGGATCCAGCAGGGTGATCCTATGGGGCCATTGCTTTATTGCCTCGTTGCACTACTATTCTGCATTAGCTTGTCCTCGAAACTGCGGGTGTTTTTCCTGGACGACGGTGCACTGGGAGGTACGGTGGAAGAAGTGGCAAATGACCTGAAATCAATCATCGCCGCCAGCAGTGCCGCCGGACTGCAGTTGAACCCAGCGAAGTGCGAAATGCTCCTGATTGGTGGAACTGCTCAAGAACGCGAGGTGGCCAGGAACAGGCTGCATTCAATTGCTCCCGGTGCGATTGTTTTGCAGCCTGAAACGGTAACGTTTCTTGGTGCACCATTAACTGACGAAGCCATAACCCACTTATTGCAACAGAAAATTGCTTCGTTGAAAATTTTTATAGAGCGCGTGCAGTTGCTAAACGCCCATCATGGATTCTACCTCCTGCGGAACTGGCTGTCCATCCCGAAGCTCATGTATACGCTGCGCTGTAGCCCTTGTTGGAAAGTGCCGGAGCTTCTGGATGAATTCGACAAGCACGTTAAAGAAGCCCTCGAAGAGATCACTAACACCAAACTGGACGGACGTGTATATACGCAGGCTATGCTCCCTGTTGCCAAAGGTGGTTTGGGTGTGCGACGAGCGAAAGCATTGGCTCCTTCAGCCTTTTTGGCTTCCGTGTTTGCAACTCGTCAGCTGACATCCCAGATCTTTAATGGCAGTAGCGAGCAGTTGGTCAATGATGCGTGTGAATCTTGAAAACTGGAGTCCGGTTGTGAAGAGCTGCCTCTGGACCTGGCCCGTGTCCATCAGTGTGTATGGGATAACGCCGTTATTCAGAAGGATGTCGATACACTGTGGAGTAACATTGGTGACAATAAACAGGAGGAAGCACGCTTAAGGGCAGTCAGCACTAAATACGCAGGGGCTTGGCTTAGCGCTCTTCCGGCGAAAGTATTCGGCAACTTTCTGGACGATCAAACAATTCGCATTTCCGTGGGCCTATGGCAGGGTGCTAAAATTGTTGAGGGCCATTCGTGTACCAGATGTGGAAAAGATGTAGCAGAAAACGGTTACCATGGGCTTGCCTGTAAGAAGTGTATCGGAAGAAGGGAGCGCCATAACGGTATAAACGACATCATACTGCGGGCCCTCTGCAATGCCGGAATCGAGTCGTATCCAGAGCCTGTGGGTTTTGTGCGAGAGAACGGAAAACGACCGGACGGAGCCACACGTTGGAAATGGTACCGCGGACAGCCGTTAGTGTGGGACGTGACGTGCAGAGACACGATGTGCGATTCTTACATTGATGCAACTTCAAAGTGTGCTGGCGCCGCCGCCGAACTGGCTTGCCGGGAGAAGATTGGAAAATACAAGTCGCTTACTGATCGCTGCAATTTTGTCCCCTTTGCATGTGAGACTTTTGGCACTTGGTGCGAGACCGGCATTGTTACGTTAAAGGAGATTGGAAAGAAGTTGTTTTTAAGGACGGGCGAGAGCCGCTCTACTTGTTTTTTGTTTCAGCGTTTAAGTTTGGAAATAATGCGTGGGAATGCCATGAGTGTGTTATGTACGGTCCCTTCTCGTGCCAACTGGGACAAATTTTTCATTTGAATGTATTTCTGTGAGCGATGCTCGTCTCCATACATATTGCAAATAAAGTAGTAAGTATATTAAATATTATTTTTTAATAATATTTGGCCTATATCTATATACACACACACACTGAACACAGCATATAGTTTTAGTTTCTAAAATTTCTTACATATAACACTGTCGATTCTCCTATGTAACGATCCAGGTCCTCCTTAGACGCCAACGCTCGCGAAACCTGCAGTTCCCGGATATTATCGAACGGGCGTCTCAGATATGCGCTGTTGTACATGAGAAAACTGTTATTAATTAAAGAGCTACAGGGGCCGCCCAAGTTGTGCTATTTTTCCAAAAATGTGTTTTCAGCCCTATAATGTAAAATTTTGGTAACTCCCTGTAAAAGCACGTACGTTTTCCTTGTTTCGATGTCTTATTTCACCGGCATAATATTATTTGCTTTGCTAAAGTCGATTGAGGACTCCATTTACGCAAACAAAGCCGTCAGAAAGAAGAGCAGAAGTGTTCCTGGGAAGTATTGCCCACGCGTTTCCGATTTGTCCCACTTTAAAAGCGTCCATTCTTCTGTCTCAACCGGTTCAAACTCGTATGATTCAGCTTTAACAACGTACGTACGTACAAATACAACAGTGACGACACTATACTTTTTTGACCAATAATAAACTTGGCAGTTGTTGATGGCTGACCAGATTAGTATGCCAGCGCTGCTGCGATGGAGAAGGCAAGTCAGATATGTGATTGGAGAGCGCTCCATAAATTACGTACACAGAGAACCACGATTTTTTCCCCACGCACTTCCCCTTCGTAGCGGTCCGTCCTGTTTGCTTGACACTTCTCTCATGGTTTGCCGGGGTAGCCAGTGCTTGCCACATTTTTTGACCCCCTCCAGCTTATTGCGGTTTTCGCTGCGTACGTAATTGAGGGATCCCCCTTCGCGTCAGAAGCCCATTCACGTTGTATGTACATCAGGCTGCGGGATGACGTCTCGGCAATAAATTTGTTAGCGAGCGTCTCTCGTCCGTTTGTCAGCCGGTAGAACCGTCTATAAAGCCGTCCAGTCTAGTTCTTTAACTCCGCTTTAAAACTGGACATTTCTGCCACGGACTGCGTTCGAGCAATGCCTGCAAAACTATGAGAGGCAGTGCGATAAGCAAAGATTTTCTAAATTTTGTTAAAGTTAAAAGAATTCCTCACAGTCATTAAGAAGCTTTTACTTCAGGGTACGCAAATAAAAGTTGATACGTAATTAATCATAACATTTTTGGTATTTTACGATACAGTTTCCGTTTAATATTATTAAATTTATTTATTAAATTTACTTACGTATTAAATTTATTAAAAATTGTGCTTTATATTGAACGATTTTCTGAAGCGTGTCTTATTCTGAATTCTGCCTCAATTTCGCTCTGCATTGTAGTTGTAAAAGGGAAGCGTTTACTGAATCGCATTCTTCCTTGTACGCGGTGGTGCATTGCGCATCAGCGCAAGGGTATTTCCCGTTTCGAGTCCCGACATACCCTGAAGCATGCCGAGTGGAATGCACCGCGAGAACGCCGTGGACGTTCTCTTCGACGACGGGATGATGCGATACGGACGCGTCGTGGACGTGGCCGTCAACGGGCTCTTCGTCAATCTGCTCTGCCCCAACCGACGCCGTGAATTCGTCCCGTTCGACCGTCTGTTCGTGCTGAGCAAGACGAGCGAAGCGGAACTGGCTGGCGTTTTCTCGAAGAAATCCTCGAAAATTCCCGTGGAAGTGCTGGTAGAGGAGACTCGGTTGGGCCCATGGATTTGGATTCCTGGCGAAGCAGTCAGTTTCGGATGCGGGATGCAGCACGGCATCGTGGCTAAATGGCGACGTCCGTGCAACGGAGAAGCGTGTACCGATTTCGTACCCAGCGAACGGATCCGCTGGACAGTGCAGACGGAGCTGAATCGGCGGCGGTTGGCCCACCTTCAGGGAACGGCGTGGGCTGAAAGCGGAAGTTCTTCACTGGATCACCACGCAGCACCCGATCATGCTGGACCAGGAACCTTCGTCAAGCAGACTCTACAGTTGGACGACGAATTTCGCTCCCTGTCCGCTGAAGAAACCGCGGCGCTCATGAAGCGGTTGAACGGGTGCGAAGTGGATTTCTTAAACTGCACGGTTGCCGTCGTCGATGTGGTTGACGGCGGAGTGGTGTACATTTGTCGACCGGATCACTCCCATCGCGGCGATTCCTGGACTCGGCATGTTCTGGTGAGGAATCGGCTCAGTTTGAGTGTGAAAACGATCTGGTTACGCATACTGCACGGATTTCAGGCGGCCGTCGCGAGTTTTGACGAGGAGATGGTCAGCGGGTCAGACCTAACGCACGAAGTCCCGACAACGAACGACCAGAAGCCGCTTCCCGGGGAATTATTCATGGAGGTCTTCTCCTACCTGGACACGGTGACGCAGATGGCGCTGCGCGCGGTCTGCGCAGCGTGGAACGCGATGCTGGAGGAGCCAGTGTTGAGCGGCCGCATCACGATGTCTCTCTTCGACTACACTGCATCGAAGTGGCGATTCCACCGCTACTTACCCGTGGCGGCGGTTTATAAGCGCCTGCAACTGGGCACGCAGCACATTACGATGACGCATTCCGGCCAAAGAGACTGCCCGGCGCCGAACGCCGCCATCGAGGACGCAGTGCAGTTGTGCGCGATGAGCAACTTCGTGACGCAGCTGCGCACCGGCATCCGCCTGCGCCGTCTGCACCTGGATCACTTCTACTGGGACCTGTTGATTGACGCCGCGGCCGACTGTGCTGGCGCCACCGAGTGCGTCCTGCACCAGATTGATCCGGCGGCGGTGGAGACGGTGGCGCAGTGGGATCTGCACCAGCTGCAGGAATTCATCGGCGTCGGCGGCAGTTTACCGTGCAGCACGCTCCTCCTGACCAACGGCGAGGTTAACTTGGTGTGCCCGTTCTTTTTTCTCGAACGCGTAGAGACAGCCAGTGTCACAGTGGAAATTCGTACAGTGCCACTGCCGATTGGTGCGGATTTCGGCTGCGCGTTGTGGGAGGCGATGGACGCGCTGCTGCCGGTGCCGGATAAGCAGAAAGTGGAGGAGCTTCTGCAGCGGCTGCAGCGGGAGCAAGACCTGCAGCAAGTCGTCTGCAAAGTATGTACCGTTCACAGTTACGAATCGTGCAGCTATCTTCACCAAGTAGTAAGTACTGCGCTATGACTGCGTTGGCAGATGCTGTGCACGCTGCACTCAGCTGATCCGCGTCCCTCAGCGCACTACCACGGGAAGCAGTGGTGCGAGGACGGCTTGCGGGATTTGCAGCTGGATAAACTGTCGCGCATCGCCCGCCACTTGCTCGTTGATCTGCACAGAGTGACCTCCTTGGCTGGCCGGGAAGCCCTGCACGTTTGACCATTTGGCTGCCGTCGATAAGCGTTAGCCATCCCATGTACATGTACAACCATGTATTTAAATATATGCATCCGCATCGTCGATTAGCTGCATCTGTTGTAGTCCGTGCATCTGTTTTGTAGCTCATAAATATAATTTGCCTCCTAACTTTTTTCAACTCGTCAATGTTTCGCCGCTTTTTTTTCGGCTCCGAATTTGGACACCTTACTCTGTATCGCGGCAGTGGACAGTGCCGACTAGAAAATCTATTGGGTTGGTCGACTCTGTGTGCACTTTTTTATTCCAAACAACCTACGACGCAACCAGCGAATCATATTCTAATGTGCAAAAAAGTACAATGAGCATGTATCTGTGTATAGAACAACAACGATGCACTAACGTATCGTAAATCCAACACTTAAAGGCACTGACAACCTTACATGTAATATACACTATACGTAACAGTACGGGCAAAAATGACATTTAATCTACTCAGTAGGACATTCACATAACAGCGTCGAAAGAAACGTCCGCAGTGAGACTCTTTCTGGCAACCCGGCAGTACAGCAGATACTGCACCATTGGTGTCAGCTGGTTAAGCTCGACGGCGCTTATCGGATCGTCTAACACCGCCGAATTCTGAAGATATGTGATATTCTCCCGTGGATCTCCGGCTTGGCGATGTCTCAGGATCTGGAAAACGAAAAAAACTTAAACTCACTTTTACACCACTAACGACGCAATATTAAATAACTTCTTATTATAACAGCGCTGCTGGAAAAGTTAAAACGGCGCGACTGGATCTCGCGCGTTCTTCCCGATAATATAACAAGTATAAGAAGATTTACCCATACCGCAATAAAATTCTCATTCAGTTCCCAGTCGCGGTTCGGCTTTGCGATCACGTCGGACACACGATCCGCCTGTGGGCCATCCAGCAGCGGACAGCCTGGTTCGATCATGCTCCACCATTCAGTGGCGCTGAGACGGTTGTGGCGCATCCGTCCAAACGGGATGCAGATCGTGACCAGCACGCGACCGTCCGCTACCGAATTGCGAATTTCGCATATCAAGTTCCTTATAACGAGAATCCGACAAATTGCGGCAAGCGAATTGAGTAAACCATTCAGTTCCTCAATGTAATTGGCGTCAATGGCCGGCATGAAATAGCAATGAACGTCGACCAAAAGGCACGTGTCCGGCAGATTCATGACCTCGCCTTTCGTAAAGATTTCACGGAAAATGCACTGTCCATCAAGCGGATAGAGTTCCAGATTGAACGAGTTCGACGGCCCCTCCGTTGGTTGTCCCGGAATTAAAACATTCACGAAATCTGTGGGCATGTTCACGGACAGCACGCTTGTGGGAGAGCGCAGCACACTACGCGAAGGATGTTCAAGATACAACAGATTCTTGACGGCGGCCGATGAGAGTATCCAGCTCCATTTAGAGCACACCCGCCGCAGTCGGCACTGGTCAGCGGTGTTGAAACATTGAAAAATCCCTGGCAGGACCTCGCGTGGTAGAATCGAGAGGACAGTATTCCAATCGCTGACAGCCACCGAATCGCCCGGAACTGGCAATGTTAAGGGGCCGCTGCCACCCGAAGCTGTCTCTGGGAATTCTACCTTGTCCGTGGTGTGGTAGATACAGCGTATGCTGTATCTACACACAATATGCTTATGTAAGACCATGCGTGGTCATGCTTTGTCAGCAAGTAGTGATGTGGCCGCCGGCATCGTGTAGAGTCTTCTAGATTGTTCTAGATGCTGTGTTGTTGTCTGTGAAGTATAAAATGCACAGTAGACGCTGTGTGTAAAGAGAGAGATCTGGCATAAAGGTTTAGCGCTGTCACCGGCAGAAAGGTTTACGGGTTAATGGTTTACGATCAAAGAAGCCGCATAAACCTTCCTGCCGAACCGCGTAAACCTTTCTGCCGAATGCGTAAACCTTTTTCATTGACAACGTAAACCTTTCTGCCGGGTCATTATTTTTATTCTGCGATGTTATAAAGGACGCTATTGTGCGCCTTCGGGGTAGCCATAAAAACGTGCGCAATCTCCCTATCGATACATTTTAGAATCGGTGCTTGAGCTTGGCTGTCGTCCAAGGAAATGCTGCCGTGTTAGAGACAAAGAAAATCCATCCTTAAACCTAAACCACTTTTAATGCGTAAACCTTTCCGTCAAGCCGCGTCAACCTTCCTGCACGACCACTGTTTCCATTTTACAATGGTGCAAAGACGTTATTGTGCGTGCGGAATACGCTAAAAAATTTTGAAGAGTTTTTGAAGAGCAAATGTGAACGATTTAAAGAAGTGTCACGTGTATGCACTTTTCGTTTTATTGATGGCTCTTACCCAATAAAATCAAGTGATTTTTTTTATCAAGCGATTAAGTTTTTAAACCGGCAATCTACTGCCCGGTTTCCAAATTATAATACTTTCCTACTTATAACAGCCATATGTCCTTCCAATGCGTGTGGTAAAAAAGTTCGCCGTGTAAATTTTCAACTTCTCTGTGCAGAACACTGGAACACTAAAACCTAAAACAGCAACAACTTTAGAGCGAAATGCATGTGGCAATTTCCATAGTGGCCGCATTCATTGTCGTAGCACACCCTTATGACTGTTCTGAAGCCTGACGACCTTAACACGCACACTAACGTCTTTGCACCATTGTAAAATGGAAACAGTGGTCGTGCAGGAAGGTTGACGCAGCTTGACGGAAAGGTTTGCGCATTAAAAGTGCCGCCGACGAAATGGTTTACGCTGTCAATCATAAAGGTTTACGAGCTAATGACAAAGGTTTACGTACTCGTAGCATTAACCATTCTGCCGGATTTTGGCAGGAAGGTATACGCAGCCTCTTGATCGTGAACCATTAACCCGGTCGAAATCCGGCAGAAAAGTTAATGCTACGTAAACCTTTTTAACGACAGCGTAAACCTTTCTGCCGGCGGCATCTTTGAAGCTGAAACCTTTCTGCCGGATCCGTAAACCTTTCTGCCGGCGGCATCCATTGATCAACAATGGCAGCACCATGGCCATTGTTTGTGGACGCGCAAGCTGTTGTACATAGTTATCATAGTACTTGCACACTACAGGGAGTTGCGGGTGTCCAGATATATGCCCAGTGCAGCACAGTCAAGTTGCTGAAGATGTAGGTTACTACGAAGCCAATATTTGCAGTTGTCTAGGACTCAAGGATACGTCGCTTGCGGTTTTATAAGAATGTCAAGCAATTTTCCATCTGCATCTACATCTTCAGCATCATGATGTGCTGCACTGAGTATATATCGTACACCCGCAACTCCCTATACTGTGCAAGTATTCTGTACTATCTACCACAGCTTGCGCGCCACAAACAATGGCCATAGTGTTGCCACTGTTGATCAATGGATGCCCCCGGCAAAAAGGTTTACGCAGTCCGGCAGGATGGTTTACGTATCGTAAACCTTTCTGCCGGATTTCGGCGGAAAGGTTTACGCGGCACCTTTGATCGTAAACAATAAACCCGTAAACCTTTCTGCCGGCTACAAGCGCGCAGTTCGGTCAGCATGTATATCTGTATAGCGTATGTCATGGGGCAGGTCGCCCACAGTGGACTGGAAAGCGTACACACGTCCCCGCTTGTTTCCGTTGGCGGATACAGATTTTTTTTGCTGGCAGGTCTCCAGAAGGCCGGAGCACCGATGTAGCCTGTAAAGATGAATTGCATGACCAATCAGTTTTTAACTAAATTCTATACGTAGTTTGGTCAGCTCCGTCTCTGGAATCACTTACATAAAAATCTTTTCCCAGCTTCGCGTACGCAACCAAATCTTTCCGAGATACATCGACCAACAAAGCCTGACGGTCGCACGCCTTGGCTGATGGGCTCCTAACTTGCTCGTAGGGCACGGGTTTCCGCGTGCCGGTGCGGTGTAGAGAAGTCGGTGTATATTCAACGAACATGAAGTATTTCGATGGTATATATTTCATATAATTTTTATTATAAACTGGAATCCAGATTCCGCAGAGCATTAAAGATGATAATAATTATACAGTAAGCGGTAGTATTTGTACGGCCGACAAGACCATCGCTTCCGGTCAGCGTCCACTGCAGCGTCTCTAACGTCTGCGCGCACCCAAAACCAGCACCGAGCAAATGCCACGTGCCACAATGTCACCCTTAATATGTGAGAGTGCCGAATTGTACTCAGCTTGGCAATATATATATAACAACCTTTATTGAGTTCCATTTGCTGTTATGCGGCAAAAAACCCCTATTACAAATTAGGGGAAAAGGCACGCATAACCTATTCTTTTTTGAAAAGTTTTGTAAACAAAACTTGTGCAACGGAAACTGCAATAAGGTAAAAGACCGCTTGCTCTCCTCTACTTTACACATGAATCTTTTTTTTGGTATTTTCCTAGAAAAAAAATAATTAAAGCAGAGATTATAGTGGTTAAGAGTAAGGAAAGGACGATCACAATACAAATTATGCAGGATGTATGGCAAGCTACAATGCAACACACCAACCGCATAAAAAAACGAACATAATTACTAAACATGTATACTCATGCACTCGCTTGGCGAAGGGCAGGCACGTCGCTTTCGGTGGATTGCGATTGCTGACCGCAAAAACTGTGCGCACTTGATGGGAGAAGGAAAAGTGAAGTATGAGCTTGAAACGAGTCAGCGTGAGGACGAGAGAGATACGGCGCAGAGAGAGCTAGCCGGCGAAATTGGGATCATAGTGAGTGTTAAACTCGCATCAGACTCGACAGTCAGTGGATATAGCTTAGCTTTCGCAACCCTATAGTGCAGCTATGAGAGAATTGATATTGGGAAGCAGAAACCAAAACGTGGAAATTTGTTGGAAAGTTATAAAAACGTTGAAATTTTTCAGATTTACCCGTCAGACTTTCATTCAATATTAAAAATATGCCTTCAGTAAAGTTTTGGAAAAAACCGAACTTTTCAAAAGTTATGACTTTTTAATAATTATATTACGTAATAAGCGCCAGTTAGACATTGAAAAGTTTAGTTGGGCCAGGTGGAAGCCACAGTTTATCCGAGCGCTTATTGAAGACAGCATAACTACAACAAAGAGCAATTTTAGCCATTTTCTTACAAATTAAGGAGGAAGTGTTAGAATTACAACCAGATATTTGCTTCAACAAGCAGGTCAA